GGAATCATCATCAAGGGGAGCACTGAGCTAATGGGCTCCTGTCTGGCGGGGCCACTGATCACCCAGCACCTCAAAACATTTCCCATCCAAACCTCTTCTCTTCGGTCAACACTCAAGTGCACTCCTCGAATCATCAATGTGGGACTGCTTGCGGGACAACATTTGCTGCTCAATTACAATTTCGACAGCCGAAGTAAACGACAACTCTAATTTTCCAAAGCCCGTACAAGTTCGACTTCATCAAAGTGTTGCTTCTTGCTGTTCTGTGCTCGCTGTGCACTATGTCTACAAATAATACATTGCCTTTTGGCATTTCTTGACCAATTTTTCGCGCACGGCGCACCTTGCCATCAGAAATACCACAAGGATATTCTAAGCCTCGACTAAACAACTCTCAGCCAAAGGCGAAATGCCAACCGAGCTTTCCTTGAAGCAGCATCTGAACCTGGGCTGATCCAGCCTATGACTCGGCATCCGCCTCAGCTCTCGGATCTTCTCTCGGGACATCGTGCGCAAACGAGCTGACTCTTCTGTCTCCTCGTACCGGCCCCATCCCCGGACTACCCGCAGACTGGTCTAAGCTCCCCTGCCTCGAGTTTCCAGGGCTGATACCGCTGGCGAAGCTCCTGCGGCCGCCGTTGCTCCCTTTCCTCCTGCCGAAATTGAATGTGAACGAGCTCAGGATCTCCTGGTGTCTAAGGTTCATCTCCGTCAGCGGACGCTCGCTGGGGTGTAGCCGCTGCTTCTGTGGTTTGGGCTTGGGCTTGGGCTTCTTCTCCTCCTTGAATGCCCTATTCGACCGCCAACTCCACGTCTTTGCAAGCCGGTTACTGGGCCGCTGTGCGGTCGGCGAGACAGGCTCTTGGCCGGCGTCATCGCTGGTGTTTGTCGTAGTTGTAGTGGCTTCCGTCTGCCCGCCCGAGGAGCTTGACGACACGGATTTCCGCGAAAATAAGTCTTTTATCGCCATTGCGAGATGTGTAGATGATGGTGGGATGGTGGATCTGAAGAGCTCAGTCCTCTCGAGTTGGGTTGTTCTAGACGTCTGATGTGCGGAGGAAAAACTGGGGAAGGGTGATTGGGTAAAGGGCTTATAATATGAGGAACTAATAGTGCGTCAGGATGCATGGGGAGCGAGATCCAACGCAGACCAACGATCTGCTAGCCGTAAGCCATCGACCTTAAGTACTGTAGGGGCGGCCGTGAGGAGATAGCTGCCCTTAATTAATGGGTGGCTGCTTGGTGAAAGGATGGTGTGAATGGTGGCTCGATTCCAAGGGTCCTCCTCTCTTGCGCCATCAACGGCTCCCGTTTGGGGTGCCCGCAGATCTGGAATCGGAAGCGGGGCTGCACGAACTACGTCACAGGCGGACAGGGGTGTTGCACAGTAACCATCTGGAACGCCTGTGCCTTTCACATTCAAGACCCTCTCGATAATGAGGTTGCATTCTGCTTGATAAGATGCTGCCGGCAGCTCCAGACCACAGGACTGGACCATGGGCTGGTTCAGCTACGTACGTTCTAGCCACAAAGCAATACTCAGGTTGGTAGGTTGTGGCTGAGACAAGGTGAGCTCGACATGACCGTTAGGCTTTTAAATGGCATTTCATTTTAGTCAAGTATACGTGATGAGCCTATAACACTGCTGTAAAGTACTAACAATGACCTTTACCTAGAACTTACACGACTCTGCACGCATGGGATAGAGATTGTCGTGTGCACATCCTAAACGGCCTGGTTGAGCACAGTCCAGCTTATACCCGTAGATATTCACCTAATACTCTTTTCCTTCCTGTTGCCTAAAACACCCACGCATAAGACATCAATAAGTCAAGACGCAAAGGCCTATCTCGCGATGCACTCGCCACCAAATACACCGGCGCTCCCACATCCCAGGCCTCCAAAGGCTGTGAGACCCCAAGCAAGGGCTGCGGACTCCCAGTCGAGTCCATCTACCGGAATCACGTCGCCCTCTGCAACACTAGCCGCCACCGCGGAACTGGGCTTGTACAACGTGTCACCGGGCTCTTCTTCGGGGTCTGCTTTGATCTTTCGCTGGCGCCCTCGCCGCCTGGTGCTCGACGACGGCGCCACAGCATCGCCTGCATCATCTGCACTGCTCCCCTTCGCCTTCGAGGCCCTACCCCTTTTCCGAACGGTTGATGATGGCTCCGACTCGGCCTTGACAGAGCTTTCTTCGGAAGGTGGCCTCTCGGCAATTGTCTCATCTGCCGAGTTTGTAGCTTGGTGATCCTCAGATTCTAGACCCGTCTTGTACAACGGCACGGTGGACGCCAAGATCTTGCTAGCATCGAGGCCACGCACGGCAGCCCAGAGGCCCAGGCTAAGACCGCATAATAAGACATCACGGCCAACGTTTGCAACCAGAGGATGATCTGCCGTTGAGCCTAGAACTTTTCCTACTGCAGTCGAGGTCCGCTCCCATTTTGAACGTTCCTCGACATCCCAAGGTAAGAGTGCACTGTGCCGGTGATAGTGCGCGTCAGGCACATTGTATGCTAGTCCAACCAAGGATGCCTTCCCATGCAGGAGGACGCTGAAAATTGAAACGAGTCGGAAGAGATCGGTGAAGGCACCATATGCCTTATGAGGATGAGGGTGCACCGTTCCCCAAGACTCGGGCACAGCACTCTGGATCAGGAGAGGGGCGAATGTAAGAGCGCGCGCCAGACCCATTACTGTAGTAAATGACGGCGTTCCAGTGCCATATGGCAGCAAGAAAATGATGAGGTAGTTGAATAGAAGGACCGTAAGAAAGAGCCCAGGATTGGCGCACCAGTTCGCCGGTCGAGGAGGGAATAGCTTGTCCACAACGCGGCTTAATCTAATACAATCAGTGGGGATTCGCATATCCAGTTTGCAATGATCATACCTTGTCGATGGCTGAGCCGCAGCCGGTAGTGGAGCTGGTGTCAGGAGAAGAGCGACATAGAACAAGTTCTGTGCATAGGAGAGACTGACGAGGTGGGCAAGGGACAAATAAGCCCACAAAAAGGGGATTCGACGACGGCGGCCTTCGATAGCGAGAAGGAAACTCCAAGCTACCATCGAGAGGTCGATTTGCTGACCCCACCAGTATCGACGAGCTTTCTCTACAACAATTTCGAAAGCGTCCGCGTAGACTGGGACGTCAGATAGCCAGCGAGAGATTTGCCATTGCGCAGCACTGGATGAGTCGGTTGTGTTCACAGAACCGCCGAAGATACTGGGGTTATATTAGAACCTTGCATTAAGGCAAAGATTATGTATTCGACGAACCTATTCGGTACTCGAATGCCTCTTTCGTTTGCCCAAACTCGATAGGAGAGAGTCGCATAGGAAAGAGATGAATGGCCCGCTATGACTAGCCCAAGGAGCGCCAACCCAGCAAATATTGGGATGAGTTTCTTGCGGCGTTCTGAACGCAAGCGGACATCTTGAGACGGCGACAGGTTCTTATACGAGCGGTAAAGACCAAGGCCGGTTGTATACGTCAAATATGACACTGTCAAGAGATGAGATGCAACCACAACCGCCGGCGTGTATCTGGTCCAGCATAGTTAGCCTGGGCTCTCTGAGTTGAAGCAGTGACATCATCGGGTATGAAGCTGAGCTTGAGCTATACATACCTAACTTGTGGATCAAGCGTTACTGGCGCCATCGTCCCAAAATCACCCTGAAGTCTTCAGAATGGGATTTGAAAAGGAAGCCGTCAACGTTGTGGTTTTCAAGTTTGTAGATCGAGAGGTTGGTGTTGGTCGTGTACGCGTTCCAAGGTCGAGCCCTTCGGCCTTGGGTGGCAGGTAGGTACTTCCTTGAGGTACCCTGGTCGATCGCGCCTTATCGTCAAGGCACCCTGCAAATTCCAAGGCTTCGTGCCGAACCACCACCTTGTTTCAGTGGGGTACTCAATTATTGGCGGCTCGATTCTGGGGTCTCTAGTGGAGGCTGGCGCCGATCTAGCTCATTTGGTGCCTGTGCATTTGCTCTAATTGCGACAGCCTGCAACGTCTCATCTTTTTCTGTGATGAACTCCAGAGCTTCAAAGCCGACGATTCAGCACCTGGCGCTGGCCCGTCCCGAACCGGCTTCAATATGTATCACCTCGCCAAGGGCTTATACCGTCTTGCGACAAGTAAAGAAGGTTCGTCGACCCTCTTTTGCGCGCCTTGCGCCTGAGCTGACCACCGTCGCAGAATACTCGGTCATTCTGCTCGGTCTAGACAACGCCGGCAAGACGACTTTCCACGAACAAGTCAAATCAATCTTCCTCCCAGGCAGTCCCGATCCGAAATTGAATACTGTTCCGACTGTTGGCCAAAATGTCTCGACAATCACATTACCCGACATGTACCTGAAGATATGGGATGTGGGAGGACAATTGAGCCTGCGCAAACTGTGGCAGAGCTACTATGCGAGTTGTCATGCGATTGTGTTCATCATCGACAGCACAGATATCGGCGACGGTAACCTCGAGCAAGATAACAGCGGTCGACTGGACGAGTGTCGCCTCGTGCTGGAAGACGTCTTGCAGAATTCTGAAACGGAAGGAGTGCCGGTCTTAATACTGGCGAATAAGCAAGACAGAGAGGACTGCGTTGAGGTGGTGAGGATCAAGGAAGGGCTGGTGAAGAAAGTATTTGAGGGCGAGAAGTCACACAGTATTCGCGACTCTCGAGTTCTTCCAGTCTCTGCATTGACGGGCACAGGTGTAAGGGAAGCAGTGGACTGGGTCCGGTCACGAGTGAAATGGAACAAGGAGTCTCGACCTCCAGTGATGAGATGAGCTTCGTCAATGGCGTTCAAAGGTTACAAGGGAATGCTTTTCCAGGAGTTGGTAGCATAGATTGGCGCGTTACCATGGCATTTTGTATGATTGGGTTAGCGTAGACAGCAGTCTTGGGTACAGAATGTAGAGAACAAGGCCTTTTCAGACAAGATTTGATAAGAAAATTGGGGTATCTTGGTTTTGTCTATACTGAAACCTATCCAGTACTTCTTCACCTTGCATTCTCTGCTGACAGCTCAGCCATGAGACCCCCCTTGTCCCGCCTCCTTGCATCCTCAAGCAACTTTTGGTCCAGGAAATCTGATAGCTCTTTCGCTTTCGTGAGGGCAACGCTCGTGCATTGCAATAGGATCACAGCATCCACGGGCTCGCCGCCAAGCTTGGCTATCTGGCAGATCTCTCCATGGCGATTTAGACTGATTGTGCAGCTGCCTATGCGAACCTGCTCTTCTAACCAATTGGCATCCAGGAGCGCTATTTCTGCCTCGTCTCCAAAGAAGCTGAATGTGATGCAGAATGGTGAATGTAGCCAACTCAGAGGAACGGGTTCCCTCTCTGCTGGGGTATACACCGTGACCACCTCTCCTTCCATACTCGTATCAGGCTTCTTGAAATGCCTTAGCGCCGCCACAACCGCCACGCATGAGGCGTCGACGAGATTGCCATCATGCGACAGGACGTGCAAGTCGACTCTTATGGACCAGACTTTCTGGCCTGCAATCAAGCAGAGTGATTCAACGTCTAGTGCGCCCGATCTCCGGACTGTCTTCTCCAGCATTCGCGACAGGATCACCTCGGTCTCGGTCGGTCGATTGACTTCGAAAGCCGGGGATGCCATCGGGCTCAGCTCCGTTACAATGTTGAAGATGCCATCAAATGGTCGGTCTGAATACGGTACCGTAACCTCGGCAGACACCTTGGCTAAGACCCTGGGAAGCTGTCAGGAGAATATTCCCTTTCGTAGTAGTAATAAATGCTCACCTGGTCTTGCCTAGCTTGACATCGGCGACGCCATACTCGTCGCCGAAGACGAGCTCGAATGGCCGGTATTGATCGTTTTCACGCCCGTCAGTCCTGAGGTTCTCCTGTAGAGCCTGTGTGACAAAAGACTTCTCATTGAGAGAAGGTTCTGCTTCTCGAGGCATCGGAGGCGCTTTTGTGTTGTGATTTACGTGACCTCATTCATTGCTGGATCTTTTTCGATGTGGGGTACTTGTGATGGTATGCATCGGGCAGCCCGCCAAGATGGAAATTGATTGTTTCTGCCGGGCGGTGAGGGTGCCGTTTGCAGGGGTTCGCCATCCTCTCGGTATCTACCATTCTGCTTTGACCTGCGACATCTCTGAGCAACTTCACAGCATTGAAACGCGCAAGTATCTACGCCTGCAGATAATGACGACCGCACATAGGCCCACGTTTGATCCCGTAAGTTTTACTCCAACATATAGAACACTCTTTGGTCGCTGACGATTCTCAAAGGCCCGTGGAAAAGAGGCGCTTCGAGGCCCTGCCTACCATCAACGCCTCCTCCCCGCGCATACACAGCTCAAATTCCGAAAGCCTGGCCAAGGTGGTGATGCTGACCATGAGGTGCGTGATCTCCGTGCCGAGCTCCTTGCCGCCGAGGCGGCGCACTTTGCCAAGTTGAATGGTGGTGCTCCTGCGCGAGATACCTCAGAGAGCCCTGAACCTGCGGCAGGTGGCACCAAGCGCTCTCTTGAGATCGCATCACAAGCCGATGACGAAGAAGACCCGGAGGCGAAACGGCGGCGCATATTAGAGGAGACGAGAGATATCGATGCGGATGATTCGGAAGAAGACGATGAGGATGTCGATAGCGAAGAGGATAGCGACGATGATTCAGACGACGATGCTGAGCTGCAGCGTGAGCTTGAGAGAGTAAAGCGCGAACGGGCTGAGAAGAGAGAGAGAGAGGAGAGAGAGAAGGCCGCGGCAGAAGAGGAGGCTAGAGAGCGGGATATCGCTCTTGGCAATCCACTGCTAAACAAACCCGACTTCAACATCAAGCGAAGGTAATACAATCATTGTCTATTCACTCTTATCTACTTAAACTAACATGTCACAGATGGGACGATGACGTTGTCTTCAAAAACCAAGCTCGTGGCACAGAAGACAAGGGCAAGAAGAAGGAATTCATCAATGATCTACTGCGTTCCGATTTCCATAAGCGATTCATGAGCAAGTACGTACGATAGGAGACCGGGATAGGTGTCTTAGATCGATATATCAAGGGTTCGATACCCATAGCATGGCGTTCTCTCACGGTCAATATAAATCTTCATTGGTTGGTCCCAATTCTCTAAATAACTACATTATTCTCTTGACCTCTCCACGAGTTCTATTCACGCCCACTTTCTTGTCGATGAATCTCTCTTCATCTGGAGCGATGACATTCACATAATACTCGTCGCTGAACGCCGCCGCGAAAATCTCGAAACTTGGAACCTCCATGATTGCACAGCCGTCAAACTCGGCTAGAGGAGACACTGATTGGGATTCCGGACCAATTGGCTGGGCATCTTTATTTAGGGCCGGTGTAGCATGTACCTATTCACTTCAGCATCTGACCATGATCAAGCTTAGCAAGCCGAGCCCAGCTTTGTGTAGTCAGTGAGCTTTCCATACCTGAGTGTACGAGATGAATCCATGTTTCTTGAACCACGGCTTTACCAATTCGCCGTGGATATGCTCCCAATGGTGATAGAATTGTTCTGGCGTAAGTCCTGGCTTCCTCTTGATGTAGGCAACGCTGCACACGGTTTCTCCTTTCTTGGCCTCTTCAGTCGTTGCGGGTGAGGCCATATTGCATATGTAAGTGGTTGAAACGTGGCTAACACTAACAAACTAAAAACACGAGAAGAGTCTTGATATTATTATGAAAAATCCAGTTCGAAATTGTCGTCTTTGAGCGCGATTTCATGTTGAAGTAGAAGCGGGACTTTGCAAGGCGTCTCCCACCTCCACCTCACGGAAAACAGCAACCGCGCGATTGTTGCGTTTGAGTAGTTTCCCACGACCCCGCAATCTTCACGACCCAAGACATTCGAAATCTACCTTCTTGCAAACAGTAATAATATATTTTCATGCAGGTGAATCCTTGTTCAGTTTAAGAGAAACTTTTAATTGTTTCTTAAAAGAAAAAGGCCAATGCGGTATTATATGGCCTTCTTGGACTCATGGGTTGCGCCTGGCAAGTTTGCAGCTTTTAGTGTATTGTGCAACTTCCCAAAAGCTGCGAAAACACGCTGAAGCGTCTTGAGACTATCTGCAAGAATAACTTTTATACGGTCAGCGAATTGATACGAGCGCATTTGGCAAGTGTCAACTTACTAGCTGGAATCACCGCCCACGGCATGTTGAAGCCAACGTAGTAGACCCAGAAATAAAGGGTTTCCGGTCGACTATGCGAGTGACCTCGATAGACATATTCGACAGTGCATGTCGAGTAATACAAGGCCACGCCGTAAAGGTGAGCCAAGCACACGATAATCTGAAGTGGGTAGCGGAGGCCGCTCCCTCGTACAATGCTGATCACAGTGGCCCAGCACAGAGGTCCCCAAGCAGCCTAGAGCACCTCAGTCATGATGAGGCTTCAGGAGAAATCATGTATCCTACCACGGTGATTGCCTCGACGCTTAGAACGAAGGGATCAGACGTCAAATACCGTGAATCAGATAAGGCATACTCTTTCCACAACTGTGCGAAGAGATCCTGAGACCCAGCCATTGTCTTGTGATTCAATATGAAATATCCTCAAACAATGTCAACTCTGAAGCTCGTCCGATTCGTTCAACCGCTTTACCTTCGAAGAAACAATGTAAAAAGCCACCTGAGTCTATTAGCAGGATGTTTGACAACATCATCTGCGAACTCACAGAGGCCAAACCAGCAAATCAAGGCTTGTTCCGAGATCGAAACATCTGGATTAATCCTTTTGGAAATGACTAGCGTCAAGAGCAAGGTTATCCCGATTATGCTGCTGAAGGATGCAAGGAGGACGACAACAGAACTTGCATTAGGCATGTAAAGAGGGATCTCCACATCTACTGGATAGTAGGGGTGGTTTGAAACGAATGTCTGTGTCATGATGCTGTGATTGGTAACCGGCAAAGTCCAGATTTGAGACTCAGTTTAAGCGGCAAGCATCTAAACTAACACACTTTGCAGGTGGGCGTTAGGCAAGCTTGCGAGGGCGAAAATCGTTGTCCTCTGCTGACCGCGTAACAATAATTTTGGTATAGATGCACCATGTATTGCAATCAAATGAGTGTGGGCAAGAGCATTGCTACAAAGGCCGGATTGGGAAGTCTAAACATGATTTCAGTTGTTGACATTCAGAGGCCATTTTCAAGGTGAAGAACCATTCAGGAGACCCGCATTGGTAACTGGTGAGGCTTGAGATTTGCTGACAAAGTCTGCCGAGCCCTGATTGGCCAATTATCCTAGCTGCGGATCTACAGATGCACGACTGTTTTTCCCGTTTTCTTGGCGGTGGGGAAGCAGCCAACCTTATCACCAAACAACTTTTGCCGACGTCGGTTCCGGTGATCTTGGCCGACATTGCTCGAGAAACGTCACCAGTCACCGCAACGAGCAGCGCTGCCAACGAGTCCAGTCTACGGCGGCTGCAAATCTACGCGTTCCACAGGCACCAGGGACGCTTCACATAAAACTCGTCACGGAGTTTGGCGCGGGTTCTACCTGCAATGGCCGAGGAGTCGCTGGGCCTGCTCGCCTCGGCCGCCGAGCAATCCCCACAGCTGCGCATAAAGAGGTACTATTGACTGCCTTCTCACCATGAATCCTACGCGCCTCAGCCCATCAGCCATGCTAACCATATGCCCGACCCTAGGAACACCGCCTGTGTCTCTTGCCGAGACTCAAAGGTCAAGTGTAATGCGAGTTCTGTGCCCGGCCAGCCATGCCTGCGATGCACAAAGCTGAAACTGCAGTGCGTTGTTGATAAGTCTCACAAACGTGTGAGCAGACGAAGGTACGCCTCAATCTGACTTACATGCTATTTTATATTAGGCTCTGACCTTATGGCGTTCCCTGCTGCAACTAAGTCGACTGGCCTTTCCCTTGTCATCATTCAATTTTCTCGATATTATGATCTGCATTTCACCTCCCAGAGCCTCTTTTCGCTTTGTCAATTTGTTCTTGTATCAATTATATTGTTAAGCTATACTTGCATCAATCATCATGCCTAAGCATCGATGTAACTAGCTTCTAAAATACCTCAGCCTCATCCTTGGCTTTATTTTCTGTCTTCCAATTTGTCTGCTAGTCACTTCAATAGCCCAATTTCATAGTACGCTCATTACCATGTAATTCCAGCACTAACGGAACAACAGCAAGTTAGAAGAACTTGTTCAAGAAGTGCAAAGCATCAAGGAAGCGGTAAAAACAAATCCATTGGCTCAAATTCCGCTTCCGCCTATACAACCAACCTTGCCTTCTCCTCGCGCGGATCAATCATCAATACGAGAGACATCCGCCTCGAGGACCCCAGTCTCGGCTAATTATCAAGTCCCTCTTACAAGAGCATTCACGTACTCAGAGGTACGGGCTACGACACCAACTCTGACCGCTCAAAACACTCCGTCAAGTGTTGTGAAAGTACCAGAACCGAGGGCGTTGAAGTCTCGAGTCTTTTCGGGCCAGGACATTGACTTCTACTTCGAGAAGTATGCTTTCAAATACCATGCTGTGACAAGTGCCATCCGCTGACAATCACCTTAGATACTTTGAGCACTTTCACCCGTACTTTCCTATTGTACGCACACGAGATCCCGACACATGTTACAAAGCCGGGCCAATACTGTTCTGGGTCGTCATAGTAACCGCATGCCGTCGTTATGCTCGTGATGATACTGTGTTCCCATTCTTGGTAGAAGCACTGCAATCAGAGATATGGGCTAGCGTGGCCGTACCCCCCTTGTCACTGCCGACAGTAAACGCCTTGTTACTTTTATGCGCATGGCCGTTGACAGGTGTTCGCTTCTTGACTGATCCGTCAAATATTTACTCGTCAGTTGCCATGAATGCATGTTTTGTGCTTGGGTTGCACACAGGGCAGGGCGGGCATCCTGAGCATACGTATCCTGCCTATCGTCTTGCTGTGACGGACGAGGAGGCCGTCTATACGTGGTCTGGCTATAACATCATATCACAAAGAGTCTGCTCATATTCTGGATTTCCACCTACTGGCCAGTTCTTCAATCGGGCTATCGAAGCAGTTCTTGATCACACTTGTCCTATCCAGGTACCAGTGCATTTCACGATTCTGCTCGAGACTGCGCGGTTTTTGAACAAAGTAAGCCGGACTATGTCTGCAGTTCTTGAAGGGGCCAAGGGTGTTTCCCATCATATCATCAGCCTTTTAGAGGATGATTTTGATAGGATTCAAAGGGTGATATCACAGGACATCTCAGGTAAGCTAAATCTTCGGGTTGATGATTTACTTCATGACAGAGCCAATAAGGTCCGTCCCATCTGACTGTATCGATGCTAACGAAGTCCTGCGGCCAGACATTGATCAATACACCCTCCTCTCGGCCCTGCTCGACGTGCAGATCTATTATTTCATGCCTCTAGCTGGATTTAGCGCTGAGACATTCAAGCGCAACATATTAAGGTGTAACAATACTGCAAAGACTTTGGTGCGCCAGGCTTTAAAGTTGCAGACTGAACGCGCATTTCTCACACATGCGCCACACTTCGTCTGCCGCACCCTTCTCACGGCAGCATGCGTCGAGATTTCCGTTCTTCTGTCGCCATACGTCAAAGACACAGGCGGTATGCACTCAGGCGATCCTGATATTCAAGATGTTCTTGCGGCATTGCGTTTTTGCTCCGTGCAGGAGGGCGATATGCCCCAACGCGCGGCCAAGATGTTGGAGAACTCATGGATGGTCCGCCATCTCCTCTCGCCAACCGAGATATCAGGGCTCGGGCAATCTCATTTCTCGCATCGACTAAGCATGAGCCTTGCCCTGGATTGCATGCGGCGGTGGAAGAGGGAAATCGACGCTAACAGACCTCAGAGCACTCCTCTGCCAGCCTCTGAGCCGCCACGTGCCACCATTGACCCCAATGCCGACCCGACATTCAATGATCCGTTCCAGCGAATTGACTGGAACACGTTCATGGAGGATTTCGACTGGAGCTTTGACCCGAATTTCCTCAGCACTGCGACGAGTTAGGGGCACGACGGTGCTGAGGTCAGAATGTATGGCGTAGGCCTTTGACGATCCAACACAGTGGCAAAAAGCCTGTTGAGCGCGCCAAGGCATGATTGACCTCAGCCACCAAGATCATAAAGGCTCAAGAGGAGACGTTCGGTCTTGAAGCAATTTTGCTGTGACTTAGCCCAAGTTCCTGTCGCCTGTTATATTGTCGACAGCGCCATGCCAAGAGATACCCCGTGCAATTCGCAGATGTATTTCTTTGCTTGTACGCCCCCTTGGTGAAGAGGAATAAGGTCTCGGAGTGGAGCAGCCAGAAAGCGAATATCATTCAATCTATGAGGGGGGTGGTATCATGCGCCGAAAACCAGAGAGCAAACGATAGAATGTTGCACCACTACCATTTCCTCTCGCAGCTCCCGACCCAAAGGCCCCAGCCGAGCACCTTGCCCTTGACTGCCTCGGCAACTTGCTCTCTGGACGCCTTCGAGGCTAGTAATTTCTTGTCCAACGGCTCGCTCAGCGCAATGATTTGGAAGAAATCTGGAGTTCTATCAGTCATGCCCACTCGCTGGGCTTGTCGGGGTTCATACATCTGTGGACCCCATGATTCATCAAGGGGCGAGGCGGCACGTAGATGACCGATCGCATATTCTTTCCGTAGTGGAAACCCCCCTTCAGCAGGGCCTTGGACTCGTCCTCGAGCTCAAAGTCCTTCGGCTCGACCCGAGTCTTGTTGGGCGGGATTCCCCCATAGACACTACGACATTTAGTTAGTTCATCGTTAGATACCCAAAGCATTTTCACCAGGACCTAAAACCAGTCCACATACCCGTGACAAATCGGTGTTTTGAGAGGCACATCCGGGTCCTCCGGGATGAGAAGCCATTCCTTCACAGCGCCGGCAATCTCAGCCGGCGCGGTCCATTCCAGCGTCGGGAACTTCTTGGCGCCGTCCGCCGTGTAATCCACCGCCAAGGTCGCGCCGCTCTCTCCGCAGTCCGGCGAGGTGATGGGGATGGTGGGCTCCGGGAAGTCCTTGAACGCCTCGTTGCGGTAGAAACTCTTCTCGTCCCTGCCTTTGGCGTTCTTGAAGAACCACGCAAGAGTTACCTCAAGTACGGCGGTCATGGCTGGCTCTTCCGTATTAGACTTGATAGTATCGCTGACTGGGTTCAAAGAATATAGATAAAATAACGAGGAAGCAAATTGTTAAGCAAAATTGCCAGGATTTAATTGATTATTAAACTGTTGAGATGCAAGAGTAAGCAGACATGAAGGTGCAAGTCGGAGTGCCCATGTTCAGTTGGGTCGGAGGTCCCTGAATTATATCGAGATTCGTGGGTTCCGTGCCGGCGCCGATGCGGTTATGCACCCATTTCAGTCTGCCCAAAACTCCGTACAGGGCTCACGGCTTACACCTTTCACCAGCCCCCTGGTCAAAGCACAACCGCTATAATGTCAAGTTCGTTTTAGTCTGCACTCAATTTTTACCTGCAGAATTATGCACAGCTTCGGGAAGAGGAAGTTCCTAGAGTGGTGATTGATTGAGCACGATACCTAAAGTACCTAGTCCGATTAAATTCCTCTGCAAACCAATTTTCTGTAAGCCATGCAGTGAACCCATCTACAAAAACCAATCGGTTCCGTGATACACGAAAGGAAGGTCTTTCTTAATGTGTTAAATGCACTCCAACTAAGAAATCAACGAAAAGAAGAAAACCACTCTAGCATATAAAACTGGGTTGATGATTTCTGGTCTGATTCCAAGAGTATATCACCACGAAATAAATTGAGACAAGAAGTTGTTTCACTCGTCGTCGTCAGATTCTTCCTCGGAGGCCTCGGCGAGCCAGGTGAGGAACGGCTCCGCAGCCTTGCGGACCTTCTTGGAAGTAGCAAGGTCGACATACTTCTTGCTGGCCCTGCTTCCCCACTTGGTCACAACCTCCTCGGAGATCAGGTCATGGTGGTAGTACAGCTGCAGAATCTTGACGACCTTTTCATAGAAGTCTGGGTGATCCTTGGCGAGCTGACCGATCAGACGTTCAGTTCCACCAAGGAGGGCCTTCTCATGACGCTCAGAAGTGATGATCTGCGTCATGAGTTAGCCAGTTTGTCAGAATGAAGTAACGGTTATTAATTTACTTACCTGCTTCAGCATGCTGGCACGCTTGGAGATCTGCGTGAGGATGTTCTCATTGAAGATGGTCTGGACGAGCACAAGAACGGTGCGGTGCTTAGTCTCAATGCCCAATTCCTTAGCCTTAACATAGATATCGATGTCGTCGACCTTGTCAATGCTACCCTTCTCCTCCGCCTGGTCCTGAATCCAGACACCCAATTGATCATAGACGGTGTTGCCACCGCCTTCGCCCTCTTCATCATCGTCATCTCCGTTGAGAACAAGCTTCTGCTTGAACTCGCCGGGCAGGGACTGCTGGCGGGCCTTGACGGCCTCCTCGCTCATGTCCACAGCCCAGTCGTCGTCCTTGACTTCGATCTCTTCATGCTTGATTTCCTGAGCCTCGGTCTTGATCTTACGAGTAAGAGCGTCATCATCGCTAGCAATTTCAACATTGGCATCGTCGACGTCCTTGTCACCAGAGTTGTCGGAGTTTTCGTCTCCGCCGCTTCCGTTGCCGTTCTCCTTGTTGCCGCCGTTCTGCTTGGCCTTGCGAGCGGCCTTTCGCTCAGCCTTATCCTTCTTGCCCTTCTTGGGCGCGTTCTTGAGGATAAAGCCACTGAGCTTCAAGCGCAGATCGACATCAGTGCGCTGACCGCAAGCCTTGCAATCGAGGATGATGCGACCATCCTTGATATTAACATCGGTTTCAGGGTTCTTGCATTTCTTGCAAAGAACAAACTTGGAGATGAAACCGTCCAGGTAGTCCTGGAGCTTGGCAGCGTCATGGGCACCGTTAATGATCCAGCGATCATCAGGAGGGTCGATATTGGTCTGAGCACCGAGCTCGAAGCCAAAGTACTTGATCAAGTAGGCGCCGGGGCGAGCCAGGGACTGAGCCACGCTGCTCAGGTTGACCACCACGGTCTTGATGCCGTTACCTTTGCCCTCGATCTTGGTCTGCAGACGCTCCATCTTATAACGATAGAAGGCGTCGGTGACGTCGCGGCGAACGTTGATGAGAGCCATTGTTGCGATTTAGGTATAAGACGGGCTATATGTTTTATTTTTGATTCTTAGCTAGGATATTTCAGGAAATGAGGATGATTTTGAGTATTGAGAGTATCGAAGGTCGAAGAAGTCAGGTTTCTAGACTTGTATGGCCGGACGAGGCATGAATAGACGATGTTGTCGGGATGGTGAGAAGAGAGGCGGGCGAAGCCAGGGTGTCAGTAATAGACCGGGCTTTGCGTTGACATAGGGTAGAGCTGTCTTTGAGACTGCTGGGTATGCATTAACGCGATGACGAGCTGATGATGCTGGTCTCAACCGTCGGGACTGAGACTGGGGCTACAAGGTTTCCGCGGTATGCGAAAGAGCTGCAGCTTGACGGGTGGGGAGTGTCTGAAGACGGAGTTTCTGTCGTGCTGATACATAAACAACTCTGTGCTTTGTATCAAGATTCTGTGTGGGTTTCTAGAGGGGCCTAGAGAATGGTAAAACCAAAGTCAAACGCGAGACAAGATGCCGGGCGATGAAAGTCTCAGGCGAGCTGATGGTTGAGGTGTGTTGTTCACGAGAATGTGTCGAGGAGGGGTGGTATGGTATGGTGGGGAAGTACGGCTAGGTGAGGAAAAGCCTCAGCACTTGGGTGAGCTGAAGTATTGTTCTGGCGGATGGATGAAGCGTGCAATAGAGTAGCCGATGACTGTAATGTGGCAGCAGAGCAGTATCGTCGCCAGAGAAGAGTTGCTTGTCCTAACCAGTCGCTGGCGATGTGCGAAAAGTGTGGAAAGTGGATGGTTGAGTGAGAGAGTGGGAGTGTGGATGACGAGAAATTGGAGTGGAGGACGACAGGTGGTTTGCTTAGTTTTAGAGAGAGCGGAGGAGAGAAAGAAAATCCGAACCTGTGGAGGCCCACATGATGTGAGGCGAAGTCGCGCCCAAGAGCAAGAGCCACCGCCTCTGCATCACACCTGCCCTCCCTGCCCTGCTGCCCGCACAGAACTGGAAGTGGAGGGAAGGAGCGATGGAGAATGGAGGGGTACGTACCCGATGCCGGGCCTTCCTTCTCTTCACAGGGCACCCACACCCACAGGCCACATTCACTGGCCCACGCACCTGCACACATGTGTCCTGTGCTAGGCGCTAAAATTGAGAATGCGCCCCGCTGTCTTAAGGCCCTTGCCAGCTGTCCCAGCCGGCTACAATCAGCCCATGCTTTGGGTGCGGCTGTCTGTCAAGTTGGCATCATAAAGTGTGCCAGCTTGGAGCCTGAAACGACATGGAAATATTAAAAGATTTGCTCACCTTGGCCTCAGCTACCAATACCCAACCCCAGGCTGCCTCTTTGCCGAGCTTACCTCATGCAACTCGGTCAAGCAACCTTTCCCAGGGACATCCAAGAGGTGTGTCTATTGTATCCAAGGGCTGGTAGATGATGTTCCACATGCTGCAGTGATGCATACTACCTATTCAGGCATGCTCCCTCCTATTTGACAGTGTTTCAGGACCTGAAGCCGAATTGGCTTTTAGGGAAAGTCCCTAGCAAACAAAAAGCAGACGAGGCTCTATGGATGGTCTATTAGGGGGCGTGTCTCTTGTAACCATCAAGAAAATGCAGAGTCCCTGCTGAGTTGGCTGCCATTGATTGGGTCTCATTGCTGGAACAAAACGGGATGGCAGCCTTGGTGGCATGAAGCCAAATGCGCCTCACTGGCCTCACAGGCATCCACTCCCATATTGCGTGCCTCTTCTCCAGCGTTGTCATATAATGTTCGTAAGACTTACCACAAGGAGAGACCTGCTCTTTTGCCCATGCTCTCAACCTGCTTTGTATTTAAAATGCCTAGTAATGGCCTCAAAATCTCATCCACAGCACTCATAATTTGAAGATAATTCATTACGATATCACTTTTGACAGGTTTGAGGCTGCTTCAAACCCTACTAGGCTAACAGTCTTGCCTCGCTCAAAGACTGATGAATCACCTTGATATGAGCATATCAATGGCACGACCAAATGGAGCTTATGCTGTCTCTCCTCTATTCTGCCGACAAGTCCAATGATATATTCTGTTCGATTTTGCAGGTGTGGGACAGTAGCCAAATGTCAGGCGAATCGGCTTCTCTGCTGAATTTGGTGTTTAAAAGTCTGCCGAGAAACCCGCGGATATCTGCACGAAGCCCCTCTGAGAGAAGTTATTTGATGCCTGACTGTGGTTCTTCTGGATTTTGAACGCGAACCAGATACTGAGAACCTCTCTAAGTACTTGCAAACAGAAGGGCGGTCTGGGGTAGATGCCAATACTTTAATTATTGTAAAGCCGCTCGGTCTAAAGAAGGGTGCGTAATTGCCATCCTACGACCTATTAACCATCCTAGGTTATCCTGACTATTCCTCTGTAGGAATAAAGTGTAGTAGACACTCTTGACCAAGCGGCCGAGAGGATATCAGTTGATCCGACATCTCCATTGACTCTGCAGTCGTCGAACTATCAGGGATGGTACTGAATCTCGAATAGACACCCTGAAGCAGGATCTTCATCTCCGCTAGAGCGAGACTTGACAAATAAGATCAGTAGAGTTACAACCCCATCAAGTGCACAAAGAGAACTTACTGCTTTCCAACACATCCTCGTCCGCCATTCGCAAACGCGAAGAAGAGCCTCTTTCTCTCAGCATCCCCTTCCATGGACAACCACCGAGCGGGATCAAACCTGTCCGGATCTGGGAAGACAGCCTCATCTATACGATGCACCGAGTAAGCCTGGCAGCTCACAATGGTATGCTCGGGCACAAAATAACCATCGATCAATTTGCCTCCCCGAGGCACGTAACGCGGCAGTGACATAGGTATCGCAGGAAAGCAGCGCAAACCCTCCATCACTACCGCATCGAGAAACGGAAGCTTGTCGAAGGGTGCTCCAGGGTTATCCCTCAGCTCCTGTCGTAGCCTCTCCTGATAATGCAAAGACCGTGGTTGCGAAAGCTCCCACATGAGAAAGCAGAGGGCGTCGCCTGTCGTATCGATGCCGGCGGCCATGTGATCCAGGCACTCGGCAGCAATCTCCAACTTTTCAAGGTCCCACGTTTTGTCGTGCAGCCTACTGACTAGGGTGAAGGGCATGGTATCCGCCTTCGCGCTGGACTCAAGCACGAATTTGTCTGCAAGGGGTGTTTCTCGCGGCTCCGCAAAGAGGCGCAGGACACTTGATATTACTCCGTATAAAGATGGGTTATAGTACTTGACCAGTCGATCTACAAAACAGTAAGTTCCCGAAGTTTTCTCGACTGGGGAGACCGCCTTACTTTGTAAGCTCGAGTCGAATGCAACTTCACGCATGACCGCTTCATCATCCGAGCTCTGGAGCGAGTTCGAGCCGTACGGGTGAAACAGATGATGTGATACGCAGTCAAAAGCATACGAATGAAGAGCTAGAAATGTCATTATCAATATGTCACTTATTGAACGGAAATAAATCCTCACATATCTTAATACTTCATTAGCTCCATTGAGATAGTTATAGCTAAGAGGGCAACTCACATATAGATCCATGCTTCCTCCAATCGACCCATAGCATTTTTGCAAAAAGGTTTCGGCCCTCTCCTGAATGCCGTGAAGTGCAGGTTGACGCATCACATTGCTGTTTGCATAACGATCTGCCAACACTCGTTTCCTCCGAGCATGCTTGATGCCGTTCACAATTAGTAAGGGAGCAATTTCAAAGACCTCCCACGCAGAAACGAAAATCCACTTACATCGTCCTTGTTTAGCGTGGAGAACATAGTCCTCTTGCCATACACCTGGAAGAGGTTATAGAACTCAGTCTTATCGTACCCGCTCCCCCCAGAGCAGTATATCTCTTTGACAGCGGCGCCCGAAGAGAAAGCAACCTCATTGGGCCCAATACGGACCACAGGACCATATGTCTTGTGTAGCCCATGGATATAGCGGGTGCGGTTGGCGCGAAACTCATGCCATTTCAGCACCCATGAGGTAACGAGCGATAGCCGGGGGCCTGGAATCTTGCGAAGTGGTGAACGGTAACATTTGATTAGGTACGCAATCGAAATGAGCAGGCATGCAGCTCCCAGGAAAGGAGGTGAGAAGATCAGCATCTTTGGGTCCCTGCCCTCTCCGGTGATTTCCTTGTGCTCTGATACCTTTTCGGAATGGAAGAATGATTTTGTATGCCGCCCCTTTGACTGGAATTCATAGGCGAGAGGAACAAGGGCGAGCTCCTCAGCTCATGAATCACAGATTGTGGGATGCACCTAGAGTTAATCACGTAGAACAAATGTGGTCGAGGTACGATACGGGCTTGACATCGGCAGCTTGCGGCGTCTTATCTTAGATTCGGCGGGGCGGTCCAGCGGACTAAGACCCGGCAAAGACATCATCGGGCGGCTGCGATAGTGAGGGTCCTAATACAGAACGCCCCATTGGTGGTGCCTAGAGCTCGGAATGATACTTATGACACACCAAAATCTGGGTAGATTTGAAATTACGAACACCAACGATAAGCTTCACGACTCTATTTATATCGGTGTAGATCTATCATAGACATTGCTGTCTTCATTGTATGTCGGTCGGCTGCATCTGCCGCATTTCGATCACCCATATTCAAAATAGCATGTTGCACATTGTCAGTAGATGGCGTTTGGCGATTCCACAGCTCCCTGTCCCAGACAAAACGCAAGAGCTTGGCGTTTATATTGAACGATTACTCGACGAAGTATGAGTATGAGACGTCGACTACCTGCTTGACCTGCCATCTGCTTCGGCGGCCAGATCACGCTCGACCATCTCAATAGAGGTCAGACTAGGGAACCTCTTTGTGAAGTCTCGTATATAATCGTCCTTCTCCTGACGAGTCATGTCCAGACCAGGCTGCCCGGGTAGATCTGCTGCTACCAATTGCTCACCCCGCGGTGGATTCCTGATGGCAGGGGGAATGCCGCTTGGTTTCGGTGGAGATCCAGATCTCCCTCCACTCGGCATGCTGCTGCTTGTCAGGTTTCTATTGAGGTGAATGGGTTTAGGCGGAGCCGCTGGTTTGCTATCCTTTGGCGGAGGGGGTGGTCGAGCGTCTGCCGCGTTGGTTGCTATTGTAGCAACTCGGCGAACGCTGACATCGACTGAGCTGGATCCCGGAACAGGCCTCGAGGTGGGTGCAGGCACTCGACCGCCTGCTATTGGTTTCCTTGGTATATCAGGCCGGCCATCAGCAGGCCGACTAGAAGCAGCCGCTGCGTCAGAATAATGCCCATAACCTTCTGCTGTTCGTTTGACATTTGTAGTCGAGGTTTCGCTTAGTAGACTTTGAACCTTGTTCTGTATCGAAACAGCTCGTGAGACTCCACCAATAGACTTTGGCAATGGAGTCGATCCCGTGCTAGGGGCTGTTGTAGAAGCAAAGCCTCCCTGCTCGCGTTGCGCAACGCGTTGCCTGTATTCTGCTGCGGCTGCTGCAACGCGCTTCTCCTCCTGAGACAGTCTGCGACGCTCAATCTCACGACGCATCTCTGGTGTCATGTCATCGGTTTCTTCAAGCACTTGTCCGTCGTCACTTCGGCCATCGGTGGCTTCGGAACCAGCAATCGGCGTCAGATCTCTTCGTTCAAGATCTTTCAATGGGGATGGGGTCCGGGGTGGCGCTGCACTGGTTCCTGTATTTGCTTCGAACCTCTTGAAGGCATCCCCAAACTTTCCTCCTAGTATACCTTTTCCTGAGAGCGCGTTGAGACTGGACCGCTTGCCATGTTTGCTCTTTTTTGGGTCTGAATCTTCCATTGACCTCAAGAAGTCCACGTTCGATTCAATATTGGTCTCGTCCTCTGGTTGCAGTGCAGGAGATGGTGCTTTCTCTGGAAATCTTGGTGAGGGTAGGCCTGGAGATGGTAATGGCTTAGAAGAATTTTCCCTTTCTCTCAGGTAGTCCATATTAGACTCTAGATGCGTGCTTGCCGGTCGAGGACGACCACCGATGGACCTAGATTTAGACATTGGCTCCAGAAACTCCATACTCGGGCGGCTGCCTTCGAGAGAAGGCCGGGAAGATGATGGCTGGCGTACGTGAGTAGCCTGGGATGGGAAGGAGGGACCCCGCGAGGCAGCACTTGGTCGTAAAGTTGGGGTCTCTGCTCTCGAGCCGCCAATGGCTGCAGTTTCCTGTTGCCTAGGTAGGCTTGACGAGCGGTGATGATCAGATGCTGGAAAACGGTAAATCTGATACTGGGATGAGGGTCGTTCAGGAGGAGGAGTTGAGGTCATAGTGCCTGTTGAGACCATAGTCGGCTTAGTGGGTGTAGGTTGATAGACCTGCGAAGCGCCTGACGAGATAGCTTGAAGTGCTGGGCTGTTTTTGATGATTGCGGACGCACGGCTCATCTCGGATGGCTTGGGAGGAGCCGATGCAGACTTGATTGGGGGTGGCACAGCTTGGCGTTCTGGTGATGAGGATGTGTACGGCTTGCCACGGGTCAGTTCCACAGATTGTCTATTGCTGGTAGTACCTGTAGCAGGTACTGGCTGGGATGACGCAAATGCTTCGTCCGCAAGTTTCTCTGTCACTCTTTGATTCAGATCCTTCGTGTTCTGAGTAGGCGGCGATGTCGGACTGTCGAAGTCAAATTTGGTTCCTTTTTGGTGTAGGATTGAAAATTGGTCAAGTGTCGGGAATCTAGACGACAGTTCATCCGCATCTCCTCCTTTCGTGCTAAATTTTGCGTCAAGCGCAGCGAACGGGTCGCCATCAGTCACCCGCATTGGTGAAGGGCTCGGTTTCGCAGCCTGGGGAGCCGGCTGCGATCCAGCCGGAGGTCTTCCTCGTCTCATAGGGACAACATCTGGAATAACAGGCTGCTGCTGGGCAGGGGGCGAAAAGACCGCGCCGACTACTGGAGAAGCTCTTGGCTTGTCCGCCGTAGGTGGCTTGTCGTTGGCTCGAGACTCAGATTGCGGTCGGCCAGCGTATATCTACAATAAATTAGTACAGAACCTGGAAGATATTCTGCAATGACTTTACATCTTTGACTGGAACGTCGCGACCTTGCATCGAACATGCCTCTCGCAATACTTGATATATGTTTGGGCGTTGCTGCGGGCTCTCCCTCAGCATCGAAGCTACAGCAAATCAGCTGGTGCTAGAAACTAATGTGGAAATAGGCATACCTATAAGCTTCTTCAACCTATCCGAGAAAGCAGGATAGCTGGGAAATTTGTAGCTGGCATTGAGAATTGCAAGTTGGCCTTGCTCTTCGAAAGGTGTTGTATAATAACATAACTTGTATAGCAAAACCCCGAGAGCCCAGATATCCGACTTCTCGTCGATAGCTTGTTTTCGATATACATCGATCATCTCTGGGCTGCGATACTGCATAGTCGTATGCTTCTGAACATCCTCGTCCATCAGGCGGCACTCAACAACAGTAGTCGGTGCGGGCTTGGGGGATGCGGCAGAGCCGAAATCGCAGAGTTTGAACTTTCTAGTAGAGCCGGTCGCAGTAATCAACACATTTTCAACCTTCAAGTCTCGATGTAATAAAGGTGGCTTCAAGTAATGCATGCAAGCAACCCCTTCAGCAACATCTGTGAATATTTGCAGGATTTCGGGTTCGGTAAGCCGATGCTGCAGGCGGGTATTCATAAAATCAATCAGTCCACCGCCATTACAGTACTCCATCAATAGAAACACCTCGTAACCTCCGCCTCGTAATTCGGACGCGTGGGAGTCGATGTATGTCACGATCGGTCGGTGCCCCTTGAGACGCTTCATCGTCTCAACCTCGATGCGCATCCCCCGCAATGCCTCCTTGTCCGGGACGGCTACTCTCTTCAGCACAGCCAAGTCGGTCCCATCAACGGGCTTCGGAAGCTTCACCAAGTATACATGTGCGAAGCCGCCCTCCGAGAGGTACTTTTGAATAACCACACGGTGACTGCCAACTTGAATCTTGGTTCCGGGAGCGAAGGTACCCGCGGGGGCGCCCGGGGGCGGCGCATGCATCGGTGCCCCGTATGTAATCCCCTGACCCGGCCGAGGAATCGCAGCATGTCCGCTCTGGCCGTAAGAGGCCATGTTTCCGGTATAGCTAATGAGAGGGCTATGTTTGTGTAGTGTCGTGATACCTAGAATGTGGGCAGAGGCAGCTGTCACTGTGCCAGACGGCAGACAATGGCAATCTGGCGTTCGGGGGCGAGGTGAGGAGTCAAGGCATCGGGAAATTGCTCGTCGTAAAGGCTTCGACTATCAGTGAGTCTCCAACATGTTTAAAAAAAGGGTATGGAATTAAAGGTTGGATTGTTGGCAATGTTGCTACCTGGAGCTGCATTGGCTGGGACACGATGATGCTCGGAGCGGGTACGTAGTTGTGTCCGGCTGAGGCTTGGACCTGGCGAACCTGGCTGTTTCATTGGGTTGGAGCCCCTCAGCCACTAAGGCCCACTGGCACCGCCTACACGACATGGAGCTCCCACGGCTGTGGTATGCACTATCACGTGAACCTCTTGCCAAGATGAGAAGGAACGATGAACCAACAACCGTCTCTAATTCAACTTCATCCGTTGTACCGTTTTGATTTCGGTTCAATACTTCATCATAGATTTCATGAAGTTCCAGAGAATTGCGTGCTGATCTCATGTTCTTCATGTGGTCGGGGTAGTTCTTCGGTTCACCGGCTCGATGATTGCAATGAGTAGCTCAACCGAGTCAAAGATGCGAGGAAGTGTTGTCGTCTCCTGCCTTTCAAAAGCCCAAGTCACGGCGAGAATAGAATTCAGAAACGAAACGGGTTCAATTGTGAGTCTGACGAGTTGCATGGTGTGACAAGGCTTACTTGAAGACGATGTTATGTATCTCGAGGGAATTTAGATCCTCGAAACTGAGCCATCTTGTAAGTGTCTCGAATCACAAGTATCGCGCGTATGGCAGTCAGTGTGGACAGTTCATCGAAATTCTCGTTTAACATACTCATACATATATATGAGATGTCCTGACTCACTCGTTGAGCGCTGATGCCGCTTGGAGCCACCAATATAAGGTTCTTCGCCAACAATGCTATTTGAGAAAAACTTTCCGCGGCCTCTCATCACAAATCTTCTGTTTTTCTGGCGGCCTCTAGTCCTTTGCAGTTGAAATAAGATTACTGACTGCTGCTGAACTAATGTCGTGCTTCACTTGCCTGTGGGGAGTCACAAACCGAGCCAGGATAATGCCGTAGAGCTTTTACGTACAAATTTTGATCTAAGGTTGATAGAGGAAGTCGCTGTAAGCTTTGAGGCACAATCCGTCGAATTGACATACGCAAATGAGTACGGAAGTATACGAAGGGCGTAGTTGACCTATGAAATGACACTTAACATTCAGTATTTCCTAATCGAAAACATCGATAGATGATATATTTGAGATACACTTATGCAAAAATTCTTTAATTAAGAGCTTAATATAAGGTATCATGATGGTGGTCGTAACACTCTTCAGCTAAAATCAAAAGATATATCTCTAAAGTATCTGTTCACTCCCTAATATTCTCCAACATCAAGTGTATACCTAGAGTAAGCTTCCCCGCCGGTATATAGCTTACTGTGAAGAGCCTAGCATGTGTAGGCTTAGAATAGAGCACGGAATATCCGGTATGGAAGGTTCTTCCATGTCTTGTGCATCTCTGGATCCTCATCATCGCCGGGGAAATGCATACGCACTCCTGACTTCAGGTCAATCTCGTGAACCGGGATATATAGTCTCCAGTCACGGCTGTAGATTTTCCACCCGAGATACAAGGCAATGACAACCGGCAAAGCCAGGTACTGCTGGAAGAAGTACTCTGCATCAGGTTTAGCGCCAGGCGACGGATAAAGCGCACTGTAAAACGTCGCAATGAGGCAGAGGATGTTAAGACCGAGGGCTATCCAACTTCCCCAAACACCTAGAGCCGGCTTGTACGGAATCTGATCGAGAGTGTATCCCTGAGCCTTCCACGCGTAACGGAATCGAATGTGAGCGGCACAAATGGAGCCCCAACAGAAGAAATATCCTAAACTTTTCGATTTGTCAGCATAAGCGGCTCATTGGCGTTGAGAATAGTTTGAGAGGATGAAAAGGGGCCAAGAAGAGGTTGAGAAAGGGTTCAAGGGCGAAAGTGAAGACGACGCAGAATAGTCTCTCACGAGACCCAATTACACATCAAAGGTCTCAAAGAGCAAACAAAACTCAGGTACTCACCCAGAAAGAGCAAGAAGCCAACCGAAAAACTCGGACTTCTTATTGGATTCGCCGATAAAAGCGAGGAGGCCGAACGCGAGCTGGATGAGGACACACCAAATGGGACGGCCATGCTTATCAACATAAGCCAGGAAACCCGGAGCCATGCCACGCTCGGCAAGAGCCTGCATGGTACGAGTCGAGCCGAAAGTGCAGGAGTTCGCAACGCTGATCACAGCAACAGTGATCACAGCATTGAAGATCGATGGCAAGACCTTGATACCAGCATCCTGAATGGCCAGCACGAAGGGCGAGGCCTTTGTGTTGGCACCGGAAGAGTTGAGAAGGCGGTCATCGTCAGATCGGACGATCAGCCCCAAGATGAACAGGTTGACAATATAGAAGAAAGCAATACGCCAGAAGACCTGCTTAGTAGCCATGGGAATGGCCTTCTTCGGGTTTGCAGACTCGGCAGCAGCCAGACCGACCATCTCAGTACCTCCGAAGGAGAAGGCGGCGACGACAAAGACACCAGCGAAGCCGTTGAAACCGTTCTTGAAAGCACCGGGATCGTGCCAGTACTTGGTGCCAATGTATCCTCGGTCACCGACGCCACCGCAGTTGATGACGATGCCAAGAATGATGAAGCCAATGCAAGCAGCAATCTTGATCAAGCTGAGAATGAACTCAACTTCACCGTATCCACGGACACCGAAAATCTGAATGACGGCGAGAACGACGAGGAAGACAGTGACCCAGATACCCATGTTGAGATCTTCGCGCCAGAAGGTGATTGTAATAGAGGCGGCGATGAGCTCGAAAGGGAGGACGGTCAACCAGGAAATAGCGTAGTCCCAGCCCATGGCAAAGCCCCTAGCATTCGGGTTAGTATCGCCAACAAAACGCGTTCACTTTGATATCAGGGACTCACCATGAAGGATCAAGAAAACGAACGACATAAGTGTAGAAGGCACCGTTGACTGGGAAAAGAACAGCCATCTCGGCGAGCGCCTGACATGTGAACAGAAGCATGATTCCGATGATCATGTAGCCAATAATCAGGGAGGCTGGACCGCCAGCGTTGAGGGCACCACCAGATCCGACGAAGAGACCAGCTCCGATAGCACCACCTAGTGAGGGTGTTAGCGAAGGTATCAACTGACACTCAAAGCGCGAGTCCACGAACCAATGGCGATCATTTGCATGTGTCGACCACGAAGATCTCTGGCAAGGGGCGCCGCCTTGTTGACGATGCCAACTTCCTCATCCTGCCTCTCAGGGGCATAGCCATTGTGGAGGTCAGAGCCATGCTGGCTATCCACGGCCTCCTTGTCGTTGTGTTTTTCAAAATCCGCCATTTTTCTAATAGCTGGTGTTTAAGCCAGTCTACCAATACTCAATACACGACAGACCGGGTGTGAATTCGGGCTGGGATGAGGGGACGTATGAAACGAGAGGAGGGAAGATCGACGAGAGCAGGGCGGGAGGACCAGCTCATAAATACAGCGTCCACAAGAACGACAACAGGAGCATTGGGACTCTAGATTGGACCAGACACGGAGGCCACATCGAGAGGCAACGGGACAGGGTATCAAAACGCTAGAGGAGGACTAAGAATGGTGCCACCGAGACAAGCTCCAAAGACAAGGATCTCGGTGCATATGTCCCATCCCGGGTTGGCGCGCTATGGGGAATGTCCTCAGAGCAAGTACACTTGTACACCCCGTACACCTATTGACGACCATACGACGACAATGGCTCGCTACAAGGGCCAAGCCACTGGCCATCCACGGGATGGAAACTAGATCCAAAGGGGGCCGGGAAACGGGCATGGGCAGGGGAAGGCGACAATCGAAGGAAAATGGAACCCCCACCTAGAGCATAATGAGGGCTCTTGAATGCGTTACCAGGAAACAGCCTTCGCGTACGCCGCCTTCCACCCACTAGCAATTGCGCAAGATCACTGTCTGGAAAAGTGCGAGTGGACAGATGAACTGGAGCATAGCTCAGAGGGAACGCAGTTTCGGGTTGCGTACATAAGCTGCGCATGAAAATTCGAGCGAGCTAACCACAATGACGAGTCTTTCTCGACCTTCGACATGTGCTCACGGTTACAGCTATTGTTCAACCTAACTGCGGGATATCGAGACGGCTGAGGCAAAGATTGCAAGAAGTACCATAAGCGGCACATAGCGGCAATCCATCGAGTGGCTTCTATCGAACGTTATCGAGCAAGACTTAGGCAACAGAGTCATATCTCTGAGCATCAGCCAAACAAGATCAAAGAACGACGAGCGACCAACTGGCAACGAGGTACTTCAAATGAGTTGTATAGGCTTTTACCAATCCTTCAGTGTCAAGTGGATAAAGAGGTTCTTCAGTCAACTCTCCTGTACTCAGTAGAGACAGGTATTGCCGCCCCGATTGAGTAAACTGGGGCCAGAGGCATCGCATTGCTGCTGCGACTCTTCGGAAGAAAGGAGCGTGAAGGGTACGATACCCTTACTCGTCGTCTGGTTAAGAGTTTGACCCCTGCAACACACCACCAGAGAAGACTACATGGAAGCAGTCCAGTCTCTGGGCAAATGCAAAAGCGAGAGGGAGGGTGCCTACCTCAAGCCGCGGCGCGATTGTAGTTGCTGCTTGTCTGAGGGCAACATCTCGGCCATACCCCATGTGGACGGGTTTCTGAAATCTCAGCCCCACCATCATCAAGTCATGCCCGGCGAGTCCCCATTCGACAGACTGGCTCCATCTCAGCCGCCCCTGCTGCTGAAGCTCAAGGACCCCTGCATATTGATCGGCTGGTACCAATGAGGAAGGTCATCGTTCAGATCGAAATCTATCTTCATGGTACTTGGTTTTCGTCCTGGTAGCGTTGAACACAGTCTAGATCTCTCTGGGAGCATGCCAACAGACACAATTCATTCGATTGCCAAGCTATTGCGACTGCACACGCGCTTACTTTCATGATACTTGACTCGACAAGCGCGATTCTGCTGAGATTACTGGATTTTTGGAAATGGCCTCCTCCATGGACAGGAAGGCGACTTGATCATAACAACCCTAAGACCTTCCTTGTCAGTCTGCTTCAAGTGAGCGCTAATACACAGAGATTCCCCCAATATGCTCCCAGTACCTATTCTGAGAGCAGCCAAGACCAGTTCGGAAATCACCTGTGACGTTCTAACGCCGCCGCTCTAAGGTATATTTCTCGAGACCTTCCGTTTCAACACTGGATCTACTTCAACCTGCCGCAGCTAGTAGCTCGAAGATCAAAGCTTCAGCCACTGGAGCGCCATTTAATGTAATTCAGGATCGTAACGGCTCGACCATCGCAACGATCCGCCCCCGGAAGTGGTGTAACGCTCAGCAACAGAGACTCTGGAAAGACCCCTGAATCATCCGTGACATCGACCCTGGGAGGATCGAGGTGACCATGCGCCGCGCACCGTGGCACAACCACACAGGAAATCCTCCTGCACCCCACACCCTCCAATGCCTACATTATTCATGTTCATAGCTACCATCAACCTGGGTCTCATTACCAACGGCTGAGGTCGACGAAACTGCTGTCAACTGAGTGAATTATTTGGTGCTGTAGACCTCTGATACCATCATTGCGAGTCCCAACTGGTCACTCCCCCAGTCGCGTTGCAATCGGTACGTGTGCTTTATTCGAGTCCATTACGTACAATATCTTCCCCTGTCCAATACGCGGCAGGACAGGTATCATAATGGAGAGCTTTCCCCGCAGCTAGAGCCGGAGACTAATAACTCTGAGCTGCGTATCATGAGCCAAAAGCTACATGAATTGCTCATGCGAGCAGTCGGAACCGCCCAAGGCCTGTCGGTAGCCACTAGCTCCCCTTGGTTGCCACCATCTGAACACCCTAAGCTTCCCTGCGTTCCAGCTAATTTGGCCCCTTTTGAGGAAAGGCCAATGGGAGTTGCCACGCCTGTTGCAGGTCAGATCATCAACCTTCTAGCGTTTCTAGAAGCCTGCTGGAATTGGCCTAAGAAACGAAAAGCCGACAGGGGGTGGCCTCGGGGCTTCATCGTTCGAAACAACGCATGCTTTTTGACCCTTTCTTGGCCGTTCTTGGAATTTCTTGGGGATGTCTTGGGTGCGCCATCAACATGATGCTAAGAGATCTTCACAAAGCTTGACTTGAGGTCGGCCAAGACTAGACAGTCTTTCTGGCCGACATTGGACATTGACGGTAGTTGTAGCTCTCCTTCTGCTCAATGCAGGCAATATGACGGGATGAGCATTAGGACATCGATCGATGTGAGACAAGATGAGCTCCATTTGCCGGGCAACAAATACGCTAGACCGTTCTTATCCTCCACAGATTTCATTATCATAGGCTCATACTAAAAACCTCTAAAGTTCTTATCATGGTGCGGGTCTGCCTAAGACAGCTGAAGGAGGCCATTCCCAACAGAGTTCTAATGTGGCTCTCCGTTTTGACTACCATATTCCCTAGCGTCATTTACCGTCCGAACGATTGCGCTATAGTACTCCTCCGCCAGGCCAATAACTGTTAGTTCGCCAGGGGTACTACTATCTCCTCAACAAGGCATTGCTACCTTTGTAGAAGTTGATAGGCCCATAGTAATAAACAGAATATTCGAGAGCTTGATGAGTATCATGGCACTCAGTACTGAGTATCTTCACCCTTTAAGAATTAACGTTTATTACCCTGGCGGAGGAATAGTGGGTTCCAGCCATCTGGAAACGCCTCGATGCTGATAGGCGTTGCCCCGGCCTTGAATGTCAATCAGCTGCAGCTCGACTGCATCGCAGAATGTCTTAAAGATGGCTCGGTTGGAGACGGCAAAGTTGTGAGTGCTTGAAAAGAGCAGTTATTCACGCCTCTCCAGACTTTGTTCCGGGTCAGACTGGATGGTTTTCGACCGTTCCTAGGCCGAACGGAGCCTAGCCGACGCCCCCGGCTACCGCCTGGTATTAAAACGCTACGGCGCCTCATTCACGATGCAGCCTACGCCGCCCGGGGAGAAGTGGGCTAGGGGCTGGATCGGCTTCGCCGAGTGCGCTGGGAAACATGACCAGATTTGGAGACAGAGCAAGTTTGTCAACTTTTCGGAATGAAGCTCTTAAACGATGCCTACATCGTCTATGAAATGATAGAGCTAGTCGAAGACATTAATTCGCGAGACTTGTAACACATGATACCTGGGTGCTACGGAGGTAAGAACACAGTTGGGGTTCGTCTCTCGGCATTTGAGGCGAGTTCAGCTGTGCCCAGCTTATGCATCCAGTAGGACAGATCAGCGGGAGAAAATATTTAGAGATCGTATGTTGGTAGCGCGCCACAAATGGTCTGGGATTCATTCGTCTTGCACTGACTACACGCTTTGACACCTTATCTGGATGTCATACGTAAACAGCCATGATGTAAGTGAATGACTCTCCCGGTGGCGCGATTGATAGGGTTGCAGCGCATGTCTCCTTAGCATAGGCGCCGGCGTGGCGGTGAAAGAGACGGAAGACCGCGTTCATAGACCAAAGACACTGTCTTGCAGAAGTGAGCCGTCGCTAGATTGTGTAGTCGGCACCAATGCCTGAATTGCAGCCTTGGGTCGAGACTTCATGTTGCGCACAGGTTGTTCTTTCCTTTCGGAGCCTAGGGCATGAATTTTGGCTGTCGGCAGAGCTGAAGAGAGAAAGCTCGTGCCTTTGACGTCTGTCCATCAAGGATGGCTTTGGTCTCGTATCATAGAAGTTTTCGACCCTACTCGGAAATCCCCCTGTCCCCCCAATGTTGCCCAATCGATTGAAATAGAGTATGAAACCCATGTCATTAACCATAGACGAAAGCTCCATGAGGCGAAATTGATTAAGTGATGGGATGCGGGGTGAACCTGATTACCACGAGACTTTCGTCCGAATCTTTCAGCCACTTACTCCTGCGGCTACGGTCCGTAGACACCGGCATAGCAGCAGTTCATCCATTACATAAAATTGCAGTCGGTGATAGGGTCAACGGGAACTCTCCCCTTGGCAGTCAGCACGGCGTAGTATTGAAGACTTCTAGAAGATTTCTAGTCTAGTCCACCCTGGGAGTTCCTGTTGGAATGCCTCATGCCCCAAGTGTTCGGTTTAGATACCTCGATAGACCGTAAAGAGGGGTCCTCCATGGCTTCGACGCGCATTCAAACCCAGAGATGGTGTTTGATAATGTTCTCGTAAAATGTACACGTAGGAAATATCCCTGGTTAAGACCTAAGGACACCTTCCTGTTGCACCTTCTCCATTCGGAAGAAATCGATGCCCTCCAATTCAGGCGTAGGCATCCAAGGTATTGATCCTCGTTCGTACATGGCATACCAGACCGCATCTGCATTGACCGCTTCAAGTGCGTTGCGGACAGCTTCGTTGTATAAGGCTTTGTCGCCTAGAATTTCGAGGATTTGATCATATATGTCATCGTCGATTCGAACATAGGATACAATGGCTGTCAGAAGCTCCACGACGGCATCCCAGATTTGGGCTGCTTGAGCGAATCGACCAAGCCCAACGGTCGTTGCTTTGGATAATGAAACGAGTTGTGTGGACATGTCACCACTGATTGTACGTATCGGGATCGCGATGCTGTTTTCACTGGCACCTCCCATGACGGCTTTCCCTTGTGATTTCGATATGTTGGCGCCTTTGGTTATGCCGCTGCTGCGTGTGGCATCATCCCGTACCTTGAGGCACCATTTCCCCAAACTATCCCCCCACTCCGTCTTGATGCGGGAGCTGAGGAAATCGCCTGCACTTTCACATAGTGAACCAAGAGCTTTGCATGCAGCGATAACAACATAAGGCTCGCCATCGTGGAGTCGAGGTATAACCACAGGCCAGATGGCATTTACGAGGGGTAGAAACGCGTTCTCGTCAGGTGCTAGAGCTGGCGACACCTTGGAGAGGAGGTCAAGGAGCTGCTTCCGTAAAGTTGGTGTAGGTGACGTTAGGTAATGTTGTGTGAGGGTTGTTACGCGTGTGAGGAGGTTGTAAGTCGGCGTTGCTCCTGGAGCCGCCTTCTCAACTTCATTGTGTTCTGGCTCCTCGTTCTCTTCTTCGCCTTGGTCTCTCTTTTGTATGGCATCAAGCTCTTCCGCAGCAGATTTCCAGGGCTCTCTAGGATGGCTCCGAATTATCTCCTCCACATCATCATCCTCATCTTGTCTTCGCCTCTTGACCCGTGAATCTAGGACGGCCACCACATCTTCCAGCCTTGTAGCTTCAGGCCGCTGTTTTCTGTGTTCGTGTGAATGGCGTTGGGCACCCTCAAGCAGAAGTGTGTCGGATTTAACTCCTTGTTCGACAACTTCAGAAAGGACCGCAAAGAGGCTCTCAACAAGGCCATGGTAACCGTGGTAATTATCAAGCGCTGCAAATATCGCAGCGACCACATCGTCGAGATAAGGTATCAGTCGCGGACCAGTGAGACGGATCATCATGGTGAGAACCTTGGTCGAGGCAGGAGATATGTCAAATGTGTTTAACCGCAGTGAAACCGAATTGACCATGTAGTCCGCGTTATCAACGATGAGTTCCGACACACTGCTGTAACCGCAGTAAGCTGCAACGCTATTCAGGGTCGTGATTGCATGATTACGAAGCTCTGAGCTCTGAGATCCCAGAAAGGTCGCAACTGGATACAAAACATCAATCAGTTCCGGCTTGAAATCCGACCCCACACGAGACGCAGCAAATGCTGTAACCTCTAGTGCGATAGCTTCGAGTCTCCAATCGATATCGGATGCGTCAGAGTGAGATGCCAGAATGGAGACAGAGAACGAGTACAGCTCTTCGAATACAGAGTCTTGATCTTCAGGACTGATGGAAGCAGCAGAAAAGTCGAGAAAACTATCCACATCCGAAGTATGAGAAAACGCAGCTTTCAATAGCTCGAAAGACAGCCAATATGACGAGATCTGATCTACGCCTTGAGAATCTCGCACATAGCTTAACATCTCTGCGGCTAATTTGGTTTGCTGTGCAGGAGGGCCAATACTCCGTAACAAGGTCATGATGTCGTCCCTTGTCGCTCGCTGACTCTCCTGTGTGAGTAGAATTGGGCGGTATGACTGAGGTTGCCAGTCTGTCGTCACCAAGCTGCCATTTCTCCAGAGGTCCTCATCTAGATTTGCATCGTCTGAGATTTTGGAGGTTTTGCTATTCAATATGAGAGTTATTATGCTATCCCTTAAAGCGCCAGATAGCGAGTCCTCGAGTGTCGAAGAGTCTATCTGGAGTGATGTGATGAGCTCATTGCCCCTTAGCAAATTGTGAACAGCTCGCTGCTTAACTCGCTCATCACTAGACAGCATTAAACGTGGCAGCGAAGTGATCCAGTTGTAGACAGTGCTCTTGATAATATCTGTCAATTCGGGGTAGATGCTTGCGAGATCCTGCAAAGAGGTTGCGTATAATGTGGTGTCTCGCAAGCCGGTATCTTCGAAGGATATACTGGTATCTTTCTGTAAGAGCATCATAGTGGTCTCAACGAGCATGGACGAGCAATTGGCTAAAGAGAGATGACATTCGTCCAGCAGAGCTACGCAGAATCTCTCCAACGCTTTCTGCACGTCGTCGCTATCATGGGTACGCAACTTTAACACGGTTGATAAAGCGATCTTGATCTGCGCAGTAGTTGCCTTGAGCCAAGAAGGAGTCAACACCTTCCCCTCCTCGGACTTTTCAGAGATCGCGGTCTCAGCCTGCTTTTGCAGATTTCTAGTCTTGATGTCTCCTAGCACAGTTGTCAAGACGACTTTCAGTATCTGCAACCCAGTAACAAGAAGACGCTTTTGTGCATTGACCGACAACGGAGGAGATAGCAGTCTACTCAGGGATGAAACCGTGCCTGGAAAAAACGTAGCCAGAACCTCGTCATCCTTGAGTGTGCTATAGACTGCTTGTATAGCCTGCAGAGCTTCGAATCGTATACCGGTTGTTCCACCTTCTACCACGCCATCGAGTATGACCGAAATACTATGGCCGAGTGAAGGGATGATATTGGCTTCAGTGAGCGGAGATGCCTTTACAGGCGCGCCGGCAGCCTTGATCAACACTGCTAGAGCGCGATAGCCCTCTATGGCGGTCTCTTCTGGGATGTCACGGTTCCTCTCCTGTCCCGGTACTCCTCCGACGATGAAGGTGAGGAGAATGAGCAATTGCTGAGAAAGCTCCTTGGAGATTGTCGTCTTCCAGCCATACTGAACGAGTATCCGCAGACATTTGACGGTGTTTTCAGTCAGCCGGATGGGCTGCTGTTCCTGGTTCTTCAGAATAAGACGTAGTGGGAAGAAAACGTATTCTGCTATTTTCTCATCCAGGACAGATGCATCATACTTTGCCTGACCATCGAGAAGGCCATAAAGCCGTTGAGTGAGCTCAATAAGCTTCTTAGAGTTCGCAGCCTTGTCTTCGGGAGGGCGTAATGCAAGCTGGCTGATTTCAACGCACACTGGTTTGAGCTGCTGATGTGTTAGCCACGGAATTCGGGCATACGTAAGGTAGGGAGGGACTCCCAGTTCCGGCTATGCAGAGGGGAGTTTGCTGACCTTGCCAAAGAACTGATTGCGGGCCGCTGAGGTAAACTCAGCCTTCGGCGCGAACCGCTCCATTTTCAACAAATACTATGCGGCATCTTATCTCTCAAGGGCCATGCATTTCTTGCTACTTATGGCGCGCTCTCAACGGCTGGATTCGCTGTGTTCTTGGGTTTCTGTGCAGGTGGCCGTGTTTGGCGGATGATATCTTGGCGTCGAAGCCTTGTGGGTTTTCAGAGGATGACTCCGGGCTGCAGGTGCTTAGCCCCGCTTAAAGGTGTCCCGTTAGCACCAATCCGTTGCCTGTTATCGGCCGAGAACAGCGCCTCCCATGGAAGGAACACCTCTGGGATACTTAGGTAGACTACAAGCTATCAGAGGCAGGAACGCAAGCTATCGCTACATGTTGAAGGTCGATTGGGATACCTGATAGGTTGTGATATCATATTACGCCGACACACTGTTAGTGAAGTCACATTAATAAGCTTCAAGAGGTCTGTCGTCAGTCGGATCATATTCGCATATAAAGCGACGATCAGCCGGGGATCAAATCTGGGACCTCAATAACAATTACGGGCCTCCGATCCAACAATGTCCACACTCTCCGCCGCCGCTCCGGCACCCTTCCCCGTTACTGTACACCCGTTCAAGTCTCCAACACCATACTCCTGCGCCTATGAGCAGGGATCATCATCTTCAAAGAATGCCCTCGTTTTCATAGGTGGCCTAGGTGATGGGCCGCACACAGTGCCCTATGTACACAGAGTCGCCAAAGAGCTCGAGTCTTCGACAAAACTGAGCTACTCGGTTTTTGAGACCCGCCTGAGAAGCTCGTTTGGCGGGTTTGGCTACAGGAGACTGCAGGATGACGCCGCGGATATAAGCGCGCTTGTGAAATATCTGCATGGAATTGGCAAGCAGAAAGTGGTTCTCATGGGCCATTCCACAGGGTGCCAGGTTCGTCATTCGACTGCAAACTGCCTGGAGGATCCTCATTTACTAAGTCCAGAGTTCAGGACTGTGTGGAGTATGCTGATGCTACAAAATACTCCAATGAGCCTGTCGATGGTTTCATTCTCCAGGCTACGGTATCAGATCGAGAGGCTATCAGGCCATTAATGAGCAAAGAGGCGTACGAGGAGGGCATAGAGTATGCATCAAACTTGATCAAGTCTGGTAAGGAGAACGAGATCATGCCTCGCTCAAAGCTTCCCAAGGAATTCGATACACCAATATCGGCATACCGATGGTTTTCGCTCGCTGGGAGAGGGTAAGTACATCTACACTGGATCATCTAAGATCAGGTTGTGACAGACTAACACATTCTAGGGGTGATGACGATTTCTTTTCGTCCGACCTGTCCGATGCCGAAGTGGAAGCGGTCTGGAGCAGGTTCAAGCAACCTGTACTCATCCTTCCATCTGGTGAGGATGAGCATGTCCCAAAGTTCATTGACGTTCCAGGCCAACTTGAAAAATGGAAAGGCCATTGTGCTCCAGGAATCGCAAGCGAGCTCTCTGGCCTCATTCCTGGAGCAACACACAACGTGAAACAGGCAGATTCTCAGGAATGGCTTGCACACAAAGTTGCTAGCTTCTTAGAAAGCCTAGAGAAATAAATACCGGGAGGTCCTCAAAGTTCTCTTGGTGGCTACAATATACTGTAATGACTGTCAGTGATTTGTGATTATGTATACATTCGTCAATCTTTCCCCTACCAGCTTTTACTGTTAGAATTCGCAGCATTTCCCTGTGCCACTCGGTCTATTCATGGCTATGCATTAGGCCCGGGGATCATATTGGACAAATGATGGAAGCAAGTCCCATTGCGATAAACTTAAAACACGGTCCGTTTTGGTGGGTACCCGGCTCATGTGATGGTCGCCGACTCTCAACACCAAGCTCGGCGACTGACTAGCGGCGGCGTCTGGCGCCCTTGCTTCCATCGCCGGCTCCGGAACTCGGGCTTTTCGCATTACATGATTTATAAACAGCCGTTGCCAATCTCATAGATAAAAGTAGACCTCTTAAGTCTCTTTCCGCGACCAGAAGTCCTTTCAATCCACCAAGCGCAACACTACCAAGTAATACAAAATCGAATTCGCACATTCGAACTGTCAGAAAAACGCCATATCGAATTGAAGTTTCCTTATCCGCCAATATGTGCATGGGAGCTACCTGCGCTGAGTGCTGTAAGTTGCTTCTCTTTTCTCCTATTCGATTAGAAACGTCATCCTGACGATGTGACAGCGAAGAAGTCGTGGCGCGGATGCGGTAACCACATTCCCTCCGCCATGTCCGGCGTTCCAGAGGAGGAATGGTGCACTTGCGAGCCGAAGGTCACAGTCGATGGCAAGGAATTTCCCCCGGCAGCCAAGATGTCGATTCCCGGCGCTTCCTGGCTTAGCAATCTCATCGGCGGTGGACAGAAGCAGAATACTGGAAAGGGTGATCTCTAATGGAAAAATTCAAACTAGCGGCGGAAGCCTGTGTAATTTGGTTGGAGTTGAAAGGGTTTGCGCTGGCTTGATAAGGCAATCAAGGGGATAGGATGATTGGGACGAGACTCGGGTTTTGTTAGCTGATCTTAAGTATGTGTTGTATTAATGAAGAGGCAGTGGCCGACTTTTTGATCATGACGGAATGAGTCCATTGTAATCCCCATGATGCTAAACTCCTTCCCATGTCGATTGAAGGTCATGTTATGACTTACTGTATGGATGTCGAGGAGCAATTTGATCTTCATAGACTGAGCAAGGAGCACGAAGACCATGATTTTAAATCACATGCAGACTCAGCGTGACTCGGTCACTCGGTCAAAGTTTGATCAAGTTAAGCTCTTTCAGCAATGGGTATCAAAACATCTGATATGAATGCAATACAGCACCAAGGCCATATGCTTGGCGAAAAACTTCCCATACGCTCGTTGAGAGCAACCTTAGTCTAAGGAGCCAAGAATATCTAGCATGTGAGGCTAATGATCGGTACATGTAGTCGATGCCAAATGGGCCCAATGTCCCTGTGTCCATATTGTTTTCACACAATAGAAAGATAGAAGAGCAATAAGCGAGTTATATCCGAGGTCAGTGCTGGGTGACGATGGCAACATTCCGTCACCAATTGCTCACACCTGGTCCCTGGGTGCTCTGCGCAACTGTAGGATCTGCCCAAGCTGGCAATCGGTCGTCATTGTTCTGAGCATTATCGTTGCCCCAGCCGCCACCACTCCAGCCGCCGTTGTTCTTCGGTGAGCCACCGCCGCCCCAGGCCCCATTGCCACTATTGTCACCATGATGCGACCCGGAGCCATCATGACCTGAATTATTCCAGCTCGAGTTTAGGTTCGGGCTATTGTGGTGATTCGAGGCTCCAGAGTTCCATGCACCAACATTGTCAGAGGTATTGTTCCAATTACCGCTAGTCCGTCGTGAACCACCTCCGTTCTGAGACCCGCTCCAGGCGCCGGGCATGCTCGATGTTCCATCAGTCCATTTGTTCTTTCCAGACTGGCTGCCTTGACGTGAGCCCTGTCCGACTGGAGAGTTGAATCCATTCCGTCCGCTATTTCCTTGGTTCCAGTCTCCGTTATTGGAGCCATGGTTGCTGCCACCACCAAAATTCTGATTGTCTCCGCCAAAATTGTTGGAAAATCCACCCGAGTTGTTTTGAAAGCCGTTGTTGTTGCCACTTCCCCAGGTGTTTCCGCCGCCTTGACTGGTATCAGCTGGCTGGTCAGTAGGAGGCTCAGGGGAGGTCTTGGTACCGCTATCACCCTTATTGCCACCCCAAGCATCGCCTCCCGAGGCTACACCCTGGTCAGGCATATTGAAGAATAGAGGTAAGGAGTCTAGCATACCACTGCCGCGCTGAGATCCACTGCCTCCCCATCCACCGCCGCTAGCCTTGTCAGTCTTCCCGAATGTGTTGTTTTCCACCGTGCCCCAGCCGTCGTTGTCATTCTGGTTGTCATTGTTGTTGTGTTTACCCCAAGAGCGATATCCTCCATCATTTGTGAAGCGCGATGCGTCCTTCTCACCAGCCTTGGATTTGCCACCGTTCTTTGACTTCTTAGACTGATTGCTTCGTTGAGATCCTCCATTCGCAGAGTCGCCTTGTAGTCGAGGAGCGCAGAACATCTTCGAAGGGTCAATGGACATGAAGTCTGGGCCGACATTGTTAGCGGCTTCGCTAGTTTTGTCCTTCGCAGCAGACCATGGATCAGGATTAGCTTTTCCATCACGTTCCCATGGATAGGAATTTGCTGCCGGAATCGACACGGGGTGGGGAGGAAGTCCTGTCAATCCTATGCCCTGGGCAACGGCAGCTGCCGCCTCCTCGTCGGTCATTCCTGCGACTTGTGGTGCTGGTGGAGGAAAACCATTGGTGCCATATGATGTCATGCCAGGAGGGTTTGGGAAGCTTGTTTGAGGGTATGAGCCGGATGGCCATGGAAATGCCCCAGATGGCTGAGAAAAGTTGCCAACAGGGGGTATATTGCCAAGGTTTTGTTCCGCTGGTGCCTTGAAGCCGTTGAAGTATGGATTGTTTAGTGGATGAGGCACACCTGCTGGAGGGACCTGACCAGACCAGGTTCGATGTGGATAGAGAGAGCCGTAGGGGTTTCCATAAGCAGGTCCGTGGTAGACTCGCACCACCCCATGCTGTTGATCCACAAATGCGTTGGGCCGAGGGTCTTCAGGTGTTTCAACAGCGTGTTCAACCTGGAGTACTTTGGCTGTGATTGGCATGATTAGATGGGGTGCACGAAGATCTGATGGAGGTGAGGGCTCGGGAAGCTTAGTGGATTTCTTGGAGACCTTGGTCTTCGCGGATGTGTCCTGCGTATTGGAGTTCTCTTGTGATTTGTTGTCGACGGACTTGGTATTGGACGCCTTCTTTGAGACCTCTTTTCCCTTGGAGTTAGAATCATTATTCTTCTCCTTTCCATTAGAAGCCGCTTGCTTCTCATTCTTGCTGTTTTGCTTCTTGGATTGTCGTGTGGTTGGTTCGTCAGATGTCTCTGCATCGGTCTTTTCATCTGCATCTGAGGCTTCGGTTGAGGTAGCCTCGTCCTTCGAGGTCTTTGATTTCTTGCCGCCCTTTTGCTGCTGCTTCGACTTAGACTTGCTTTTGGACTTAAGATCTTCAGAGTCCTCTGTGGCGTCATCAGACGTATCTGCTTCCTTCTGTCGTTTCTTAGCGATCTTCAACTTCCTTCGGCCAGAGATGCATTTGGGGCAGGGGCAAGTAGGATGTGGGTCGTCATCGGTCTCATCGTCCGTACTACTACCCAACTCGGAGGTGAGAATCCGACGGTGTCTCTTTACCTTGGTGGTTCTCTTGGTCCTAGTAATTCGGGTGGAAGAATCCGTGGCGTCGCCCTGGTAACTACCCTCAGTATCATAGTCCACAGTGTCACTCCCAACAATAGAATAATCCTCCACTCCAGAACTACTCGAATCCTCGCCAATGAGTGTCTCTGAGGAGGAATTTCCAGCCCAATGTTTCAGGGCTGATCTTCGTGGTGATGTCATATGAAATCTAACCTTCTTGGCTCCTGTCTTTCTCGTTCGCGGATACGTGACCGAAAGCGTGTTAGACTCGTTCTCGTCATCAGTTGTAACAGCGACCTTGACGACTTCACGTCTAGATGGACGCGCGAAAGTTCCAGGCGTAATGTTGCGGCCCACGACCCATTCTCCAATCGAGTGAGGCGGCATTTTGTGTCGAGTCAGTGGACTTCGAGGTCGAGGGAAAACAAAGGCGAGTATCCTCAATAGAGAATTGTTGAGACAGCCAGAGCCAAGTTGCGAGGAGCGGAAAGCTGTGTGGAAGAGACTTAGATGTCCTCAATGGTGGAGTTTGGGAAGTGCAGATGGGTGTCGAAAGAAGAAGCTAGAGGTTATGTTGTGGGCAGTTTGAGATACGCAGGAAAGAAGTTGGTGTTTGGGATGCACTCGAGAATAAGATGAGGGAGACAAACTGCGTGCTTGGGATCTCAGAGTTGGTCTGCACTTCGCTGGCCAGCCACGTGGTAGTGCATTTGTGATGTTGACTCTGCTGGTGTTGATGTTGCCTCAATCTAGAAGGCACATGGGGAAAGAGCCTCAAATGTGACCTGTTATGGCAAGCACATCCCTTGGTACCAGCAACCCCCTTAAGTGCATCTACTCTAGATTCCTTTAATAGGCTGAGGTATCTTAAATAACATTAATATTTGAATAGAACCATAAAACATCTTGACGACGAAGCGTACAAGGTATATCAAAATCAACTCTTACAATGCTATCGGTGGCAGTTGTGCTCAGAGCTTCGCTTTCTCCCTTGCCTCGATCTCTGCCCATTGTTTGTTGATCCTGATATTCTGCCAAAATGTCCAGGCACCTACAACGACCCCTAGTGGTGGACAAAGCAGCAGAGACCAACTCCACCAGGACGGGCTCGATCCTCGAATCTTCTCTATGGCTGAGTTGACATCCCGCTGCAAGTCCTCCTTCGATCCATCGTTCCACAGTACCACGCCTCGTCCCCGGCCTCTCGCTTCACAGCGTTTGGCCTTAATACGTACGTCTGTCTGGCTGCGCACCCGATTCTCAGCATCCTCGGCAGTGAGATGTGGATCTCTTGCCCTCAGACGTGCCATCTGGATGGCCGGATCTTTGACTGCGACTACTATCACCGTCCCGCAAAGGCGATCGATAGCGCTCTCGAACAGCAACGGGACATCCAACACCACTGCCCAGCAGCCTCGCAAGTAGCATTGCAGCATCATCTTGTACATCTCTTTCCGCACCGCCGGGTGTACGATGCCGTTTAGCACGCCTCTGTCTTTCTTCCTCTCTGGGTCATCGCCAAATACTCTCCTCCCGAGCGCCGGGCGATTCAAGGGCCTGCCCTTACCGTCTGGGCCATTCTCGGGCATTGTGTCTGACGCTGGCACGAGTAGCTCAGGAGTTGTAGGGCCGAAATGTGATACGATGGCATTGTATCCTGTGGTACCCGGCTCGACGACTTTGCGCGCAAGGACATCGGCATCGATGAGCGGGAGCGAATGCGGGGGAGAGGACAACAAGCTTGACACGGTCGATTTGCCGGTCGCTATAGAGCCCGTCAGGCCGATGAGAAGCATTTTGTGACACCTGCGAGCTTCGCGACTTGTGTAATGGCGATGTTTTCGTTCGTCTACGCCACTTCGTTGTGTGGTTGATTTGATATCGTTTCGAAATGACAATGATGCGCTCTAGGATGATGTCGCAATCCCGCGGTCCCTCGGCAGCGGGGTGAGATAAGGCAATGATGCACTGCTCACTAGGTTTCCCCCAAAGGGTACTAAATTTAGGTGGTTTACCGAGGTCCGGAAGACCCCTGTAGGAACTAATGCATCTTCCCGCAGCGCCATCTCGAAGCGTGCTTCTTGCGCTAACGCGGACTAGGACTGCGTAAGTCGTGGAAACAACCTTCTTGACTCTGTCAATGTTTAATGCTCCTTCTTTTACTTTGTCCTTTTTCAAGACCGTGGATGACTTGATGATTTGGAGCCCATTCTCATATACTGCTATCAATGTTTTCGAGCATTCTCTGCCCCATTCGGGCCATCAGCTATATGTTTCGAGATAATGCTTTTCTAATCTAGCCTTGCTAAGCAAGTACGTACTAACACATAGAAAATAACTGATAATGTGGTGCAATCTGTTCAATCTTGTCTCCGGAATCCGAATGATTCCCACCTTTGGAGAATTTTTGACTTCATCTCGTCAGGATATGAGTGCGCAAAATCCGCCGCAACCCATGTGCGTCCTGTTGAATATTCACACGGGAGTAGAGCGTCCGATATCACTTTTCCGCCTCTTACTGGGCTGGCACTGCCATGAGACATGTATGGGATCAACGGAAAGCCGCGAACATCCTCGAAGAACACCTCGTCCGTCCCCGGCCGGCAACGAGTCGAGAAAGCCCACATGACGTCTTTCCCGTCATAAACATCAATATCATCACCCACAAGCACTATGCGGTGGATTGTGTAGCCGGCCTTGTGATTGAAAATCAAGTCTCCAAATTTCTTGCACAGGTCCTTGGAAGAAATATCCATGTTTCGTAGTTTTTGGGTATCAATGCGCAAAGCAACCCACGTTACTTGAGACTCAAAGGGCGCAAAAGCATCGAGAACAGGAAGATCAGCCTGTTTACATAATCTTCCAATCTCAGCCGCCGCAAGAGCTCCTATCATTGTGTGCTACAAGACATTAGTATCCATGCTCTTCGTGAGGAACAAAGAGTTCACTTACGGTCTCGTCGGTTAGTCTTCCGCAGGATGACATAGGAAGGATAGGGTTGTTGCGATATGTGATCTTGTTGACGGTATAGACTGGCCAGGGATGGCTATCACCGGGGAATACATAGCCGTGCATTTCTCCAAAAGGACCTTCTGTGGCTGTTTCACTTATAGAGAGTGTGCCTTCGAACACAATCTCGCTGTTTGAAGGCACAAATAGATCATTGGTATCGCACTTCACAACCTTCATCGAGGAACCGGTCATGGCACCAACATAGCCTGCTTCAGATACACCATCAGGAATCGGCATGCTGGACGCCATTATGGCAGCGGGAGGCACCCCGAATGCTAATGCCCAGGGCACGTCACGGCCCTCCTTTTTCCACATCTGATGGATCTGCCAGATATGCTGCGGCTCAATGACCAAGCCGACCAGATGTCTTTTGTCATGTACCATCGCCCGGGCAATAGACCAATTTGTCCAATTCCCATCAGGCGACTGCACAATATGCATGCCATAGGTCTGAATGTATTTTCCCCCATCGTCTTTGTGTATCATTGGCGCTGGGAGTGCCGTGAGGTCAATCTCGTCTCCTTCAATGGAATTCTCCTTGCAAGGTGCATTTTCCACAACAGTAGGCTCGATCGGTCTCATGCTGCTAGCAGAAGTCATTTTCTCGAGGATCTCGCGCATCCCCGCTGTCGGTGGGAGGCTGAGGTGGCGAGCCAGCCGTCCGTAGCGATCCTTGCTTGAGCCCCTGAGGGAGTTTGGTGCTCCTAGAATTCGAAACAAGCCATTCTTCTTCATACCAACGAGGTTGTTAAAAAGGGGTGCCCTGTCATTGGTCTCGCATACGCGCCGCGTGATGGCAGCAGCTTCGAGGTAGGGGTCGATGGGCTCATTGATTTCGACAAGGTCATCGTCAGCTTTCAAAGCATCCACGAACGCGCGGAAGGAAAGAGCTGGATTTGAGTCCGCCATTATCGATATCAGATTCGGGTTCTTGTTGCCGACAATTACCACCTTGTTTCAAATACAGCAGCTAAAAGAAAAGGAAATCGATGAGGTCAAATGGAAAATGATTACCTGGCAGACGTACTTATACCCCGAGATCTTGTGATGTACCCACCACTGACGAACCTTGGCCACCACTGTCCATTTCTGGCCGCATATTATGACCTCCTGTGGATGTCGGGTGGATAGCGGACGGTTCGGAGGCTCGGAGGCTCGGAAGACGGCCAAAAGTGCACCCAGTGTCGCCTCACAAGTAATATATTCCCGGAGAATCACATCACAGTTGCTTTGTCTTTCCATAAAGTTCCAAAGTATACTGATAACGGGTGCCGAAAACCTATAGGTACCCCAGATATAGGACGGTATACAGTCTCCATTCCTAACTATTCCACCACCACAGCTCATTTCACGTTACAATACCCCAATCTGCTGTCTATTTACTCAGTATTACTTTCGATCTCAGCCAGCGTGAAGATGGAGCAGACAATGCCCGATCCCGCCCCTTATCAGGCCCGAACCCCTCGAAGACAAAGAATTATCGTTGCTATTACGGGCGCGACAGGGGCGCTTCTTGGAATCAAAGCCTTGATTGCTCTCAGACGTCTTCACATCGAGACTCATCTGGTGATCTCTAAATGGGCAGAAGCAACAATCAAATATGAGACGGACTACCACCCGTCTGCGGTGCGGGCGTTAGCGGATCATGTCTACAGTATCAACGATATGGCCGCCCCCATCGCCAGTGGCTCGTTCCTAGCGTCCGGGATGATCGTGGCTCCGTGTAGTATGAAGACTCTGGCGGCCATACACAGCGGGTATTGCGATGACTTGATTTCCCGCGCCGCAGATGTCATGATCAAGGAGAAGAGGAAGCTTGTGCTTGTCACGCGCGAGACTCCCCTGAGCGAGATTCACCTCCGGAATATGCTCGAGGTGGCGAGAGCAGGAGCAGTCATCTTCCCTCCTGTGCCGGCTTACTATATAAAGCCATCTTCGGTAGACGATTTGGCCGACCAGACGGTCGGAAGACTGTTAGACCAGTTCAATCTGGACACAGGGGATTTTGAGCGATGGGAAGGCTGGAAGAAGGAGCGGGAAGTATGACCGTGTCCACGGTATGCTTTATTGGAAGAGAAAGCCCGCATCAGAGGCTTCAGACACAGTTCCTGCTGCTATTTTCGTAAGTCGCCCTGTTGCTAGTGCAAGGATATATTGCGGTATCTTACCATTTAAATAGTAGTTGAGGTAGTCCAGCGGAGACAAGCCAACCATGCCAACATCACCAAGGCTAAAATTGAAGGACGAGCTGTCACAGCTCACTCGGTCAGATGATCAGGTGTCCGTAATAAATGTAAGGCTGTATAAAACTTACTCCAATGAGGAAAACGGAGCAAACGGGTCAGTTCCAGGAGCACCAGTGTCAGCGTACACTTCGGTGACAGCGTCCGCAGGAGTGGAGCTTTGATTTTCAGCGGAGATATCGTGCGGCCGGTCTTGGCCGAGGGCATCTCGCAGTGATAGTAGTGTCCGTATGTGCTGCGGAGACAACCATGTTGTTTCTCTTGAAGCTAGATTATCGTTTGTTGTCTCATCGGTTATGTCATTAGTAAATATATCAACAACCTGCTGTTGAAGAAGGCGGCAATTTGTATCATGTCTTGTTTTATCCCATACATATAGCAGTAGAACCGCGCTCAGTGCCTCATGTATCATAGACCACGTCCTTCGAGGAACTATACTCAAAGCCTGGAAATCCATAAATGCCTGGCAGACTCGTATTAGGCTCTCCTGTGCTCGTACACTGAGGTTGTCATTGGTCAAGGTTTCATTGATCTTTGTAGAGTTCCGTATTGCAGGTCTGCAGATATATGTTATGAAGAATGAAAGGTGCATCTTGAGAGCATAGTGCTCTAGGAGCTGAGACAGGTCTTTACACGCAGCAGTTTCGCGTAGATAGCTCTTCGAGGTAGCATACAAAGCATCAACAGCGCTCAGGAAATCAGGTAGGGACTTGTCGGCCCAAAAATTTAAAGCTTTGCGTTGCATGAACTCGATGCTTATATCCGAGAGACGGTGCATAACTTCAGCATATGAAAGATCGTTCAAAGCCAGCTGCTGTGGTACCAATGCCCACCCGTGGCTGTAAATCGCTGGCGGGCGATCATGGCATATGCTCAAGAGCGCGTCCTGCCATCGAACTCTAGATCTACTCATAGTCAGTCTGAAATTTGCCAAATATGATATTTACGGGACAAGGATGAGTAGAATAGCTACCTCAATAAACGAGCTTTCATCACACGATCTCCAGATGTACTGACATTGGTACTCTGGGAATGGTCGTCTATAGTATGAGCCAGTCGAACCGTCGTTCCAAGCAAGACCCAAGCAGCATCTGACTGGCCAGTATTATGAAGGGTATTTCCCAGTATCAGAAGTGTCTGGATGTCGGAGGCTAAGGGTTGGAAAAGAAAATTGGCCAGACGAAGGCCCTGGAAAGCCAGCTTCGCTGAGATGAGGTCAATATCTCAGCCTGCGTCCAAAAAGGAGTAAGCATACCAAATGATTGCGCCAAATCCGTGCTTCTCTCATCATCTGAGAAGAATGCTCCAGAAGCGAGCACCGAGAGCAAAAGTGCGACGAAGCTGACTCCTTCACGTGTTGCCCAGCGCCCTTGAAGAAGCCTTTCTTGGGTTTTCAGTTCACCCGTCGCCTCTGCTTTCAGGTATGCGGATATATCAAGCTCAAACTTATCTGCCTCGATCAGTATAGGGCTGAAGGGTGCAACGTGTGTGCGATAGTGTTGGTAGTATCTATTAGCAACAGTGTTACTTCTAGCTGTATTAGGCGAAGAGCTTGAGCTAACATACTTTACAACGTCCCCGCGCCGCGGAGCTATCATTATGAGAGCATCGATAGGGTTTCCCTGGCCGCTGTTCTCCGTGAATAAATAGCTTGTAAGTGTGTTTTGTAAACCTAGTACTGCCCTGACGTCTTGAGAAAGTGGTCCGTCATTTGGGAAGGAGATTTTGGAAGATATGATGGCCGGCACGGAGTCATGGCCCGATGGGGATGTTATATCAGATGCAGATTCACTATGCTTCGCTGCAGGTATTCTCGGTTGTCTAGCTGTGGATACTTTTCTTCGATGATCTTGCTGTGCGCCGCCATCCTTAGAATTTATGGCAAATGTACAAATCTCCGGATGCCCCCGGATTTGACAGGTACGGCATGGCTGCTGTTTGTCACATTTGACCTTCGAACAATCAGAATACTCAATATTCATGAAATTCTCGCATAAGGAGAGTTTCTTACCTTTCGTTGCTGGCAAGGGTAACATGCTCTAGCCTCTTGAAGTCGGCGTCGATCTCGCAGAACTCTCTGTATGGTCTCACGATCCATGAGGCCAAACGTCCCAATCAAATTGCTTCTTAGATTTCTGCTTAGAAACGTCCCATTGTGGTCGCCGCCGTCAATACACGTTTGTAGATCGTGCAAAGAACAAAATTCTGAGCTCCCAAGTGTCCGAAGTCCCGAGTGCCCGAGCCGCCGAACCTTCCGCACATATGTGGGGCCGGTATATGACGGCATCATTCCTCCCCTTTTCAATTGTCAGCTGTTAGAATAGCCCCTTGAAACATATCGACAACCAAAGACATTCTAATATATTAGATCTTCTTTTACGAGTGGCACGACAGTCTGGTAAGAGGTGGCTCTTGGCTGGCTGAGTAGCGTTCGCTGCTTTTATAAAAGCATTTCCTGCGAGGGGTCGATAGTTAGGGGTAATTTTTATGTCTTCATTTCACAACACCAAAGCACCCGGAATGATCAACATTTTCACACGCAATTCACAGCCTCAAGCTTGTCTCAACAAGAACTAGCATTGTGTATGACTACGATGACTTATGAAAAACCGTTGAGAGCCGAAAGTTTAGACCTGTGACCGTCGTCTTAAGTCTTGGAGAGCTTCCACACGATGTTGACTGACCCCTTTGTTAGAGGCTGAGTGTCGCAAGACGCCCGAGCTCTTCCATTCCGAACCTGACATACAAAGGAAAATAAGGAAAAAAGAAGCAACTGATCATCTCATGAACCCCTTGCCACACTAGCCAATTCCCCGTACCAGCTTTAACAACATAGCTGTCAAGAGAACCCGAAGGACTGGCTTCGTTGTCCATTTATTGCTGAAGATAATGGTCAGGTGATCAGTAGTCTCAAATGGCGCGTGCGGATTCGAGGTCTTACAAGAACGTGAAGCATCACTTCATCGAGAGGCAAATTCCGTGGTATGAGAAGAAACGAAACCATCTGGTGTATGAGTTAGTATCAATGAAGACAAAATGCCTTGGAGCACAAACCAATCCGAAAGAAAAACGTTGGGGAAAAGGAAAACGCAATGTTGCCAAGTTCTTGTCGAGAGGTGAGGTAGTCGTGGGACCTCGTACGGTGTCGTTCGCGGAAAGTTCATCTGATACCCGAAGATCAGTGCAAGTTTCTTCAAGCTCGACAGATTTTAAGCAACTCACCAGATGTTCAGCCAACTAGCTAGGCAGACGAACTGCATAGAAGACTCCGTTAGGCATAACGTACCAACGGCAATCGCCAACGCCATCGATGGCAGCTCGGGACAACGCGGTCCAGCAACCGTCACACTGGCGGACCCAGTACATGCGCGAGGGGTCGTCGGACGCGGGTTTAAAATCCTGCGGCTCACACAGTTCAGGATTCTGCGCCTGATCGGCGGCAACTTCCATGCCAGTGAGGCCAATACCAGTGGCAGGCTCGAAGTGGGTGGAGTCGGGGGTCATAGTACCTGGCATGAACTGCGGCTGACCTCCAACAATCAGCGGCGGGGCGCCGCCCATCATGGGAGGAATACCCTGGATCGGGGCACTCATAACCGGAGTAGATCCGTTGGCCATCATAATCTGGGCAGGCTGGTAGGCCGGTTGCTGGTTCACGAGAGGTACGGTTGGGCCAACAGCGGGGGCGAACGGAACGCCATTCTGGTATTGGACGGTATTCGCTGGCTGTGAGGAAGAGTTAGCTCAGAATCCTATCAATGATTTGTGATCAAGAAAAGAGATGGTGATGTGATGCTTTGTGTGGTTTCTCACTCCATAGTACGGTGCGACATTATGCTTATCTCCCTTGAACCCGAGGGGTATGAAATAGGAGGGATTTGCATAATAGTTGCTGCAGTACAAGGGTGCTACAGCAGGCTGGGTATTCAGATAGACTGGCTGGATGACTTGATAAGTGTCATGGAAATAAGATCGAGGACCCACAAGAATGCCAGGCTGAGGTTGACCCGCAACCGCAACAACACCAGGAGCATTGTCAAAGCGCGGGACATAGGTGTGCACCATCGCGCCAGCAGATGTATCAGGCACCTGCGGCTGAAAGTGCACGCCGTAGTTATACGGGAACGCGTTCTGATAGTTTGCGGCCATTGTTGCTGGAGCTGAGGCTGGGATGGATTGCGTGTGGGTTGGCGCAAGAAAGAAACCTGGTGTGAGGTTTGTTGTTGTGGGAAAGGAAGGAGGTTGAGCTCCAGCGAAGTGAGGGGAAGGATAAGGCTGTCCAGGAAAGTTGGCTTGGACAAAGCCGGGTGGCAGGCCAACAGGTTGGGTAGTGTGAGTGAAGATGGGATTTGGGCCAGCAGTCACAGATGTAGTCGAATTGTACGGAGGGTAAGTGGCAGTATTCTCAACCACGGGAGGAGCCTCAGATTTCTTGAGTGCCTCGCGATCTGTGTCGTGGCTCACCACAGGAGGGTCAGAATGGACCGGAGAAGGGTAGTGATACTTCTCATCAGCGGGAGTAGGGCTGGAGATGCGCACACGGCGAGTGTTCTTGAAGTGCTTCATTGCACTCTTGTTGGCAGGTGATGTCATGCTGACTGCCTGAAAGTCACCCAAGTCTGAGTTGACACGGTGACGACGTGGTTTGTCCTCCATGGGTCAATTAGGAGGAGAAAGAAGTTGCTTGGGAAGGATGTAGTCTGCCCGTGGATTTTGTGGACAGTGTGAACCGCGGAATTTATGAGAATGCAAGAGGGAGGAGGCCGAATATATACGTGTCCAGGACAGAAAAAACAATAGGGGTGAATATCTATTGTTTTCCTATTGCCTACACAGCTTTGTTGTCAAGCTTTTCCCTGCAGCAAAACTCCAGCTCAAAGCGGGAAAGGGGTAAGGGGTGAATCTCACTTGGGGCTGATGTCCCACGCGGCAAGAACGTAAACAATAGGAGAACGGGCAACAATTTCGTCTGGTGTATGATAGGATATTTCAAACGAATCAATCCACTTACCGCTCGGACTAATTGCAGCTCCCATGCTTGCCCATTCCAACGAAAGCGTTGAGCTTCAATGAGGTCATCGTCTTCCCATTCGTAATCCGTAAAGCAGCGGTATGGAATACACCAGCACATCTTGATAAAATTCTGGTGATATAATGTGCTTGGTGTTGAGGGCGTCTGAAGCAGATCAACTCAGTCTGCAACAATATTGCATGCAACAAGTAGCAGGCAATCGTGCGCTGGGCAAAGCTGGTTAATATGTTTTAGATATTTTCACCAATACTGTAAAATAGACAGCGAAATAAAAAGGGAGGAAGGAGCCATAAGGCTCAGGCATACTTATTACTCATCCAAAATGTGTCTAGGCAACATTGTTTTGTTTCTGATTTTTTAAAAGTACATCTATGAGAAGTACTACGTACCATTCATCGTTCGTGCTGTCACCTCTTATGACTTTGTTAAAGATTTAAATAAAGAGTAGATGAATCATACAATATGCTATGCACTCATGATAGATTCTCAAACTTGTGAGATTCTTGTCTATTTGCAAGGCTATCACCGTAAGTGGTGTACTAAGTCTGTTGTATTATGTCTACATTAATGGACTATGCACATCATGTCTCATGTCCACCACCCAGCCATCGTGATAGCTCATCACAGAGGTCTGTCCCAGTCTAACTATCGTTACCAGCCTCTACCTCGCCATGTTCGCCTGCATTTGTCATTGCGGCAAGAAGCCAACCCGCTGGAGCAACTTCCTGATCGCTCTCGGACCAGTCCGGTGGAAAGCCAGTGACATTGGGCTCCGTCCCAAGTTCTGAAAATCCTTCAATCGTGGATCCTTGCTCTTGCTTATGAACAGGTTTGACCCTATTTGCCTTAGGATCTATGGCAACGAATCCCGCTTGCCTCAGAGACACGAGATTGTTTCTCTCCAGCGGACGTGGCAGATGGGGGAATCTTGGATGGGCAGTTGTCTCAATTGTTCGATGTTGAGTGGTCGTCAGTTTCCGCGGTGGCTGGGAGAAGGGCTCATCCTCGAATGCTTTATCGATGAAAGCTGTACAGATGTCCTCGTAGATATTCTCGTGTGATGAATGCCATGGCTTGAGATCTTGCGGTTTATTGACGCCTTGAATGGCCATCTGTGTACCAGGACCGACGAGGATCCGGTGCTCTTCTTCTAGAGCCTTCAACTCAGTCCATATGTTGGACATCCTGGTCTGCCAGCACTGTAGATACTCGTCAACATACTTGCAACCTTGAGAGAATTCCTGGCACTTACTCTGAGGAGCACAATTGACTTTTTACGTTTCGCCACTTCTCTCATAGCCTCCACGTAATTGCCCTTGGTGTCCATTGCCACCCACAAAGGGTCCCTTTCTGGGCCGTTCATCTCTCGAAGAGAATACATCCAGATGCCAGTGCTCTTCCAATCCGTCTCTCGGAATGCTGCAATATTGTACTTGAGCACAGTGACTTTATCTTTGAAGTCTTTGGTGATCTTCGTGCTTGCTGTCTCGAGAATTTGAATGCTCAAGTCCCAGGAATCCATGACAGATTTGTCATCAGGCTCAAAAGGAGGCTTCCTGTGTATCTCAAGAACCCGTAAGAATTCGTGATAAGAAGCTAGGAAGGATAGCTCGCATTTGAAGTACTCGAGTTTTCCATGATAGTCAAGGTAGCCAACAGTAGCCTCGAAATATCCACCAGTTTGGTCGCGCCACACTTGGAGGTTTTTCTCTGTAGTCTCTCGAAGTTGGTGCTTTGCAACGATGATCAACTGCGAAATTGTCAGTAAGCTAGGCAGACATGCATTTGAGAGAAAGTGAGCAGGGATCAAGGCCGGTGAACCTTGTCTATGTTACTTGCCTTCTCCAACAGATCCATGGACTTCAACCAAGTGTCACTTTGGAGTGGTTGATTGAGAAGGTCCCAGTAGCAGCTGTCCTCGATGTCTCTATTCAGGAGACACTCTATCTCTTTGATAAGCTCTCTGGGGCCCAGAACAAAGTCATGCTCAATATGTGCAGGGACGTCGAAGTGTGTGATGTAAGCATAACCACCGCCGACAATAGGCAGTGCAATACTATCCTTGTAGATGTGAACCGTATCCTCCATGGCGATGAACTTGAGGGCACTCCAGTCATCTGGAAATCTCTTTGTCCGGTAGTTCCACCAATGCTGGATGACATCCCTGATATACATGTCCTTGAGCTCCTCGGCTTTGCGAGAGAGGTGGAACATTGCTGAGTTCATTATGGCGAAGAATTTAGTCCTGCGAGATAAGTGAGATGCACAGGTGATGTCAAGAAAGATAAAAAGAAGCAGAGATCAAAGAGAATCCCTTGGACAGGGACGAGGATATGTCCGAAGTACGTGATGCTGGGAAGTAAACAAAGAATGAAGCTTAAAGAATGAAGCTCAACCACGTCGGCAATCATGACAAGGCAAGATCCCCTCCAGGACAAGGCAACAATCGCCGTGGACTACGATTTTCCCTGGTTGGCATGCCAATATTCAAAGTTGAGAACAAGAACCACGTGCAGATTCACCCGAAAACAGTTGCAGTGCCTTCCTTGAAAGCTTTAAATGCGAAGTTCGCCTGATATTTGAGGCTAAACGCCTGCCACACACCAGATGCGCCGCCAGCGCTCTATGCCATACAGCCTCTATTATACAAGTGCCCATGAGGAGGAGAGATCAACCTTTGCTATGCTTGCCACCCCCGCCATTAGAGATCAGAAAATGAACTGCCTACTCAGACAAATGTTGAGCGCCTCAACCTTAGCTCCCCAGCCTTTTCTAGGAGCAGGAGCTCGACGTTCCCAGTACTTGAAAATGATGTAGCTGGATTCGAGGACGTAATTATGATACGGGTTATAAATGAATCGCTGCAGCGCTTGTCTTATAGTGCCACAGGCTGGTTTTGTTCCGGTTCGGGGAAGAATGTTTTTCTGGCCACCTTTAACAGAGTTAGCGATACGATAACAGCAACGACGAGCCAAAGATTACTAACCGCCCAGACACCTGCAACAGATCCGACAATGCCTCCAGAGATCATCATCGGTCGTAGACCCCTTGTGCTCTTGAACAGCATGCCACTTAGAGCTCCCGCAGCAATGCTATTCGCTGAATCGTGCTTCCCCCTAAGATAGCCGATATAGGAGTTGATACAGTTGTACACTATTGCAATCACACCGGCAGAATTACCCAGGAACGGTCCCCGTCTTGTGACTGCGTTCAACACTGAGTTCAATCGCAGCTTCGGCGGCTGTCCTGCCGACCTCCTTAGACCCTCCTGCAATCCCCAGGCTCCTCCGAGAGATAAAGCAGCCAGATATGTAACTCCGGTTCCATAGCAGAGGTCGTCGGTGAAGCCCCTGGATGGGAGGACAGACTGTGAGCCGGGGAGGTCGGACAGCGCAGAGTCTTCTAGAGAAAGGTACTCTAGTGCATCCTTATTCAGGCCGGCAAGAGGATGTAATTGAGAGGGATCGGCGAACGCAGAGCTTCCTAGGAAGGAGTCTACGCCTTGTGCTGTAGAGGGATCGAAGGGAGTCGGTTGGAAGGTGTCCGTCGGGACCGGCGACTGTTGCGGCGTATTACTTGATGATTGCTGAGAGGACTTCCGTCCAGTCAGCGCATCCCAGATACCAGACATTCTCGCGAAAACTAATACAAAAAGGAAAGGAATGAAGAGGCAAGTCGTCGAGGGAGCGCCAGAAGGTGTCGGCAGAGAATGGAAAACGGATTGGTTCGCTATCTACCAGGTACGATAACCACGGCAGAGTGAGTTGGCTGGGGGAGGTGATTACTAGATAAGTAGTCCTCGGGTGATTGAGGCTTCAAGTCGAAAAAAATTCCAGTCCAGCGATGACGGCCCCGGGTGGTCTGTGCTCGGGCTCCCGGGTCCCCGGTCCTCTCACCGTCGGTGTGTTTTGCTATAGGTGGAGGTAACCGTATCTGGTAGCGGTGAAAAAGTACGTACCTTGGGCTCCAGATGCATCTTTACCAGTGCTATTTACCACATGCATACCCTAAGGTTTTCAAAGTGACTGAAAATTCAATATGCCTCAGTTATTTTGAGAAGAAGGATTGATTTGTTTGAAAATGGAAATCAATCTTTTCATCTTCTGATGATCAACCGCCCAGAAATGACCGCTCGAACAACCGAAGCAAATTTGCACAGAATTTGACGACGTTTCCGTCAAGCTGTCCATGCATTCAAGTATCTTCCATTGAAGCTCAACATGCGTCAAACTCAGATCCCCTCGTTAGAGGATACATCTAGCAACCCTAATGACTTGGTGACCTGGCTCGAAGCACAGCCCCAAGCCTCTTCAGTATCGTATGGATTGAGCCCCTCGTTTCCCATCAAGAATGCTCACACCAAGTATAGGCTCGCACAGACGGTATTCTCTAGATTGCTTGACGATGCTACCAGGCCTCGAAATGCATCTGGAAATGCCTGCGTTAAGCTTTGTGGCTTCGTACAACAAAGCACGAGGTCGAAAGAACCAGCCATAAGATCTTGGGCCTTTTCAGAGGATACAGCAATGAAGCTGTTTAATTTCTACATCGAGTGGAATGAAAAGGATCAGCACCGGTCCATGAGGCTTGTTTTGGACCTGCTATCTCTTTCCATTAAACAGAACCCGAACGCTGGAGTAGGCAACTCTATCAAGTATAGCGTTTTGGAGAGCTTGGTATCTATCATTTCTCGACAATCCACGCGACCTCTAATCAAATCATCTACAAGTTCACTGCATCACTTATTAAGCAAGTCGATTGTAACACTTGACAATATAGATCAAACGTATAGGAACGTTCGACCAGATGTGCGTTATCTACCAGCCAATGAACTTTGGGAGAAGTTTATTGCAGAAACACTCTCCTGGATGAATTTGCATTATGTAGCGCCAGTTGCTGGGAAGCTCCTAGTAAGCCTTTTTAGGAGTCTACGGGACACTTATTCTGGAAAAGTTCGAGACCACGACTTCGTCTTTACCGCCAACACTTTACAGGCGTGGCTCCTGAAGGCAGTGAAAGATGATCCGGAGATCTTAGAGGAGGTGAAGAACTACGTTTTCACGCCTCTCTTCAAGACCGACAAAGAATTATCTCTAGAGATCTTAGCAGATCTCAATCGTCCAAGATCGACGTCGAAGCAGACAGAAGATGCTCTAGACATGTTGGCTATGTTGCATCTCGCTGCGTTGGAAGTTGGGAAAAAGGCTGCTTTGGTTCAAGAGCCTAGCCTTACGGGGAAGAGGCAGGCTTCCACCTCAATCGTGCTTAACGAAGATATTCTCGAGCCGTATCTGAGGCACCCCTCTCAGGATGTCCGCTCCCTCGCCATGTCGCTCCTTATTGCGTCCTCTTCGTCCACACGGCCATATTCCCCAGCTGCCCTTGGCTTATTACGCCGCTACTTGGGCGCATGCCATGCCGACCCAGACGCGAAGCTTCGTAATGATATTCTGGGGCATTCAAAGACCATGGTTATCCGCGTAAAAGGAGCTATCTCAATTTTACAAAAGGAGATAGCCGAGAAAGAACGAGCAAACCCCCAGCGGGACCCAGGAGCCTTAAATGACAAAGCGAACAAGATACACAAGAGAATTGGAAAGACGACCGCGGAAATATCGACAGAAGACGTATCCTGGCTTAAGAAAACCCTGACGCTCCATGAGGATTTCTTCGAGTGGTATCTGCACTTCCTCAGAAAAGAGCTTATCCCAACAGCGTCATACCAGCGGCACATCGCATCTCTGAAATCGCTCATATCTGTTCTGAAAATTGCAAAGGATGCTGTCGGGTCGTATGACTGCCTTGATCTTGGAACAGCAACACGTATTTATCGTAATTATGCTTGGATCCGGTCAATCTTGGATCTCATCATGGATCCTTTTGACGATGTTCGGGAAAGTGCTGTATCTGTACTCATGCTATTCTCACCAGAGGTTGCAAAAGAAGTGATACAACTTGGCGGTGACGTGCCTCCAGCCAGTCTCCTAGAGATTCTCCGCGAGTTCTGCTCACGAGCAGTCCATCTTGCCTCAAAAACGGCAAGAGCTGATCACGCTGATGGTGCCGCCCGCTCATACGGTCTTCTATGTAGCTGGCTGGGCCCTCAAGACCTTCGGCTAGATCTCCTGTTTAGTGTCATAGGCAGTTTGGAAGATAATCTCACCATGGCAGAGTCTGATCTTGGACGCGCTGCTCTCGAACGCCCGATCCACGGGGGCTTTGCTGCCCTACGGTACATTTGGGAAGTCTTGGTCAAGTCGCGATACAACGAAGAAGAGGCCAAGTCTCTGGTTGATGTACAGATGCGCATTTTGCATTCTTGTAGGCGGATATGGAGAGCGGTCAGCTACGTGCTGTGTGACGACTCCCCCGAAGGTCATCTTCCTCAAGAGATGGAAGAAGTCGAAGGTCTTGATACCAAGGATCTTTTGAGCTATAGCTTTCGAGCGATCTATGAGTCTAGCAATCTCATGCGGACCATTGTCAACACCCTTCGACTAAGTCGTGACAAGGGAGTATTAGTCCCTACTCGCCAAGTTTTCGAGGACGTCGGGAACTTGACTTTCGAGCAATTATCCAGTCTGCGGCATCGTGGCGCCTTCAGCATGGTGTCTCTTACCTTCACGACATGTTGTCAATTGGAGAAGGTGTCTCGCGAACCGAGTCAAAGCAATTCCACCGAAATTACGTTGCTTGAGACCTGGTATAAGGGGGCGCTCTCTTGCATCCATGAACAGGTCTCCACCACCCGCCGGTCGGCCGGCATACCTGCTTTAATGTGCGGCATATTGGCTGCCAACGCCGAGAAGCCGTCGTTCGGGGAAGTCATTCGACAACTTCAAGAAATAGCCAGCAAACCAGCACGAATGTCCGAGACAGACGGCTCGAATTTGCCCCAGGTGCATGCGCTCAACTGCATCAAAGACGTATTCAAGAGTTCACTCCTTAGCAAGAGGGCTGAGATATATCTGTCGGAGTGCCTGCAATTAGCCACCACGTCATTGAAGTCAGAAGTATGGGCTATACGAAACTGCGGGTTACTTCTCCTGCGAAGTCTTATCGACTGCCTTTTCGGCACAAATGAGAACAAATCTTCCATGGATGCTGGCTGGGATGGAAAGACTCTCCGTGTCTCGTACGTCAAGTACTCGACCCTGTCAGGTGTTCTCATCAATCTTCTACAGTCAGGGCGGGCTGCAATGGAGGCTGGAGTT